AGAATCACAATATGAAGGGGACTGCAGAGCTTGAGCAATTGTTGGTGCTGGCTCACCGCCTGGCTGCCTTTCCAGCTTGTCTGTTGTAGTTCCTCAACAAATGTGAGATACAATTTGCATGAGGGACTTTATGTAAAGCAAAACCATAATAATTAATAATCATAAGAATAATGGGTTATTTTTAAAAAGTCTACGAGAAGAGTGCATTTTAGAATGCTTGGCCTCTAAGGTGGCCAGGTGGCTCGGCACTCAGCTGGCACTACTGAGATTTTGGGATCACATCCAGGTTTCAACCACATTTGATTAAATTGGTTTCTCAAGCGTAGCCAGTTGGTTTCAGCCGGTCATTAATGACCACCCAAAAAGAACACGAAGTTTGGTTTTGGACTTAAGCTGGTTAAATAATTAAAACTATCGGTTTAGTTGTCATGCAATGGTCTTATAGCTAAACTAATGGTAGTGTGTGACCTCAAACTGTCCACAGGATACGGGGTCAACTGAAGTATATTTTAGATGAAGTCTTGTGAAATATTATGCACCTCTTTCACACATCGGGTGTCTCACGACATGCCTATAAATAGCACAATCGGAATCAATCGGGAAAATACCGAAATAAAGAAATCATTCAGCTGGCCCCTTCATTTTCAAAAACATGAATGGCTGTCTTATACACAGGCTAATAGTGTAATTAGCCAGCCTGTGGTAAAGCACTTAAAAACCTTGATGGGTAGATCCTCATCAAATCTGTGAAGCTAGAATATGAGCATGGCAAAGTAGGTTCCTGACCTTTTGTGGGATTTGTGTTTGGTCTTACATACAAATAAGTAACCAAACCTCTCGCAAGGCAAAAGCCCTCCTCCTGAAGGGGGTCTCTCAAAATTCAGCGAAGCCTGCCTTGAGGACTTAATTACTATTTATTTTCACGTAACATTTACCCGCAGGTGATTTTAGCGAACCATTTCAACGAAGGTGGAGCAGCCCAGCTGCAATTCGACATGATGCGGAACCTCTTCCCATTGTTCGCCCAGTACTGCAAGCGGCCAGAGAACTACTTCAAGCAGTGAGTGACACTTGAACCTTTACTGGTTCCCACGGTTGTGACATACAGCTGATTTTCCACTAGATGTGACATACAGGTGATTTTCCACTAGATGTGACAAGTCACCACCTTCACCGATTAAATTGTCACCATACCATTCAAACACGTTGTTTTGACCATATTATTTTGTAGTTTTGTTCAGTTAGCCTATATGTAACATATCAATTGCATAAATTGCACATCATCAATTCTAACATTCCCACTTTTGGATATATATTATGAGCTGTATTGTTTATAGTCGAAGAATCATTGCAGTGTAACATGCCTAGCCATCACCCTTCTCCTTGGGCATCAGCTCACCTTACCGTCGTTCACAAGATCCCATAAAAATGTAAGCAAGGTAATAACACATCTCGCATGCTTGTCACTTGAACATCTATAAATACGTTATGGAGAGGTGCATCAGAGCCTAATAGGCCCAGTGTACCAGAGAACTCGACTCACAAATGGAAGGTTAAGTAGATCCACACTGTGCCAGCCAGCCCATCACAGAAAATCCATCTGTGAGGAATCGTATCTATTCTGCCCTATGCCAACTTTCTGTTTCCCGTCCGTGCTGCGTGGGGCCATCAGCGTGAAGGAGGCGTGCCTGGTGCTGACCCTGGGCGTGGGACCCGCGCTGCTGCTTCGCGAGGTGCTGAACTCGTGGGCGAACGAGGGCGGCAAGGAGGACGACCTCAGCGACGGCGAGCAGAGCCAGCACACGGCTTTCAAGTCACTCAACGAGATGGGCATCTACAAGCTGTCGCCCCGCACCGTCAAGATTCTGCTGGGCCTGAGGACAAACCTCCCCGCCAACGCCTAGTGGCTCGAAGGACGGGGACTGCCTTTGCGAGTGCACTGCCATGCAAGATACCGTGGCGCCTTGCTTTCGTGTGGTTCTGTTGGTGAACCCGAGTGGTGAATGCTGAACAAGACTAATGTGTAGCACTCATTCTTAAGTGGAACATGTGTTTGAATTTCACACTATACCTAAGGGTAATTCGTTTATTTAAATTATTTAAAATTAGGACCCTGGTTATAGGACATGAGTAATACATAATGGAAAGCAATGATTCCTCTGATGAGCCTTTTAATGCTTGTATGATAGTCTATTATAGTTATGGCTTTTAAGCTAGATCATCATCAGCCATATCAAGCCGTTGCTGGATAAAGATCTCACGGTCCAGCAATAATCTACTTAGAACCTGGACAAGCTGTATTCATTACTCCCATCTCCTTGGTAGAAGTGCTCTGATGGGTTCCATCCTTTTGCTACCACTCAGTCTTTATTAGTCATCTAAGTACAATTGTCTCAATGCTGTTGATACACCTTTGCAGTGAAGGGTACAATGTGAGAAATTAAAGTTAACTTGTATTTAATGACTTTAAAAAAAAGTCATTTTAACTGACAAATCTGTACCATATTCCAAGAGCTTCCTATCAGCATCCTGGAAATGTACAAGTAAGAAGAATTACAGCAGGAATATTTCAATCTCAGCATTTATTTTTTTCAGATAAACTAAGGACCTCACAATACCTCTTAGCAGCAGGCACGTACCCTTAATTGCTTTAATTTAAGTAGTTTACTCAATATGGGAAATTGTTTAAAACATTGGCATTGAGGTTCAACAATGTTAAGTGCTTAAAACTCTCAACCACTTGATACAATCTTCGAATGAAAGAGGATGCAGGTTTTGAAAAGCATTAAAACATCACACGGTAACAATTTCAGAATTGCCGCAAAATGTGTTTATTGGACACTTTGGATCTATATGTTCACAAAGCTCATAAAACGTTTTTATTTATCTGGATCTATTCTCTCTGTACAAATCATTATATATAAAAACAAAACAATTTCAATTTACTTTAAATACAAAATATATGTACAAAAATATTTCGGAGATGAAAATGACTGCATTCAGCATTGCTAATAAACACCGTATGCAAAAGAAAAAAGAATGGAACTTAATAGTTTATTATTGGAAACATCCTGGTTTAAAAAATAAAACGTAAGGGACTCGTCAACATATTGCTAGCCTAGGCTTTCTTGCCCGAATAGGTATTCTTACCTGAATGTTGCGCAGGAAAAGGTTAACTTCGCTATAATTCCCTTTCTTGGTTTCTTCAACCAAGTTGGCGGCATAAATAGAGGGAGACTGCATAGTGCAACACGTACACAAACCTAGTGCTTTAATTGGTCACTTAGGGCAGTACCACAGGGCTGTGTAAAGGGGCTGCGCTCATACGCAAGGTTTCATCACCGTAGCCCTCCTAACGCTTTAATTTGAGAACCTGCATGTGTTGACTTTTCCGCACTAGCCCCCCTTTCCAAACAGTCTCCAGCCACCTCGGCAGTGGCATGGGTTGAGTGTACAGGACTGTACGTTGCGTACACCACAACACGGAAACATAAACGTGAATATATATGTATTGGAAGCAACGTTTTTACTTTAAGCTACAACACACCACAAGCTAGGGGGTAAATATTACGTTGGTACCCGAAAGGCAGACACCGGATTGTGACTCGACGATTAGCGTGGCCACAATCACATTCCCAGTGGCCCCAACTCCAATGTGTGCTGCTCACCCCCCCCCCCACCACCCCTCTTAGGGTTTCACCGAAGGAAATGTGCTGATCCTGCCATTTAGTTTCCTTCAGGTCATCGTACACAGCAGTTGCAGGAAGACATTGCGGTATGCGGCGTTTTTCCTAAAAAGTCGAGTCTAAAAGGGAGTAAATGTTAAAGGTGCAGCCCCGCAATTCCTTGCTCACACCACGACTTGCAGAGGAGCTCCACCAGAGAATGCTCCAGAGCTCCACGCCAATGGGTCGTTTTGGCTGACTCTTCTATACTCGACAGGCATCTTGGAAGAGGTGGGGGTACCCACAACCGACTCACCACCACGTGGTCTGCGTATTTGACCAAACTGGCATACCCACTCTTCTACTGTTGCTTGGAGAGGTAAACGCATGCAATTAATGCTCCAAGCAACGTGATATATATATTTTTTTCTGTTATGAAACTAATTATTGCAGAATTAACTTTGCCTAACCAGCCCTGAAAAAGAATCCACCAGCGAAGGCACTTGGATAAGTGGTAGTGTTTTACCAAAATAAGAAGAAAAAAAATTCCTGAAAACCCAAGATTACCAATCTTTTTATAGAGTTTTGAGGTCTCAACGTTGCAGGGCTGAAATGACTGATTTTTACCTGAATGCCCATTCAAATGTATCTTTTACACAGGAGACATGGATACCACGGCTTCATCTACAGGAGTGTTTGTAATTAAGATATCAGTAATTTTCTAATTTAACCTTTATGCTACGATAATCTGCGAATTAATGCTCAAGGTCTTTAAAGTTATCCGTTTTAGGACAGAGAGTTTGTCCTGAAATCCCTTTAAAAATCACCAGGAGATGGCAGCCACGTTGGCCAAATTTGCCAAGTCGCAAGCATGACCCACTGGGCGAGAGATTATCTTAGATGAATCAGGAAAATATCAAAATCGAGCCTAGATATAAAAGTTCTGATCTAATTATTATTTTTATCCAAAATGTAAAATTACGTAATTTTCCACCAAAGTGGTGTTACGTAGCATTAGGTAACATCACCTTTGCATGAAGATACATTAAATTATTACTGAAATACAAATTATCCTCAACTACGAATACCATTTTGTTTAAATCCAAAACTTAACCCTATACTTAGCTATCTATAATAAATGAGCCTTCGAGTTCTCATCTGTTTAGACAGAGTCCCTGTAAAGGGTTGTGCTTATTTTTAAATTGGTCATTGCCAGCCGTTACCATTTACTGCTGGGTATTTAAACCTCCTTAAGTTCTGCACATCTGCAATCCACTCCATTATAATTGCTTTCATAACTCGATACTGTCGTCCCACCATTTAAAACATTTATTAAATCCCATAAAAAGAATATTAAAATCATACAACAAAAATAAGGCAATTTAGTCAGCATTGCATCTCCGTTTAGTTTCTCCCTGCAAGCTTTGATTTTGCTTTAAGATTCTTCATCGGTGCCTACACTGCATTGCATCCAACACATGAGCAGCAACACAAGCTCGGATTCTTGCGAGAAAGCATCTTAAACCGAGGAAGCGCCCAAGTACCCAGTTTTGATTGACCACTTGTACCCCTTTTACACTGGCAAATCTGAGCCGAGCCAGTGCAGGGCCCTCACAGGTGGCAGTGCTAATGACATGTGCAATGCATCTAACATCACCACTTAAAGAAAATCAATAAAATAGCATCCAGCAGTCGAAAGCCTTGGAGCATTGAACAGTGCGAGTATGTATATCTGCGCGCAAGTCAACTCAAACACGGCGTGTCATCCGTCTCCATGTTACACACTGCGTGCCATGTCAGCGGCATGGCTCGGCTTCTGCAGTGGAAAAGCCTGCCTCCTGACCCGTGCTAGGCTGGCTCTGTATGGCGCGGTCTCGGATGTGCCAGTGGAAAAAGGAATATTCCTGTAGTTCAACAACATGGAATGCATTATACTGAACAATCATAGATCTAACTTACGCTATTTCTGCCAGGACCCTACATTATGTGGAAGCACAGCCTTAAGTGACGTTTGTATTTGGTGAAGGGAAGGGTGTGTTTGCAGCACTATGCCTTACTGTTTTGGAGGACATATGTACATAAATGCATTAAGTTTCAGTGTCACACACACACACGCACATTTATTGCTAAAGTAATTGGAAGTGTATATAGAATGCTCGTACTGTATATACTTAAATATGTATATATAATGCATGTGGTACACATACACTAAGTACACAATATATAACCCCCTCGGTGCTAAATATATATACATATACACACACACAAACTAGATCCCCCATTTAGCCTTTTAGACTGTTGGGGCAAGTGCTGTTAGCGAGCACATATTAAGGACGGCAAAGCTAGCAGCACTCCCAGCCTCAATTGTTCCAGCCTAGTGCTATTGATTACACTGCTCCAGGTACTCATTTTAGGCTCAGCTAACCTAGGGGAGGACAAATCCAGGTTCAATTCCCACTTCCAACTTGTGTTGTTCATAGCTTGAAATTGAACCTGGAACACTGGAAATGCTGCAGTGCGCTAACCACTACGACACCACCTCCTAATCACACCACACACGTGGGCCCACACACGCACACACAATATAAACTAATGAATTACTCTGTAAACTAAGACATATCTACACAGCATTACACACACACGATACACACACTTCACACTTGGACAATCACAGTACTGTACTTGTACACAGCTTCCCTCCGCTCCACAATAGGCGAGTTTTTTTCCACGGCCGACAGAGCTTTTGCGCACGGGTCGACGGCAAAACCGCCGATTTCATCGACGATCTTGGGATGTGTAGAACACGAGCGACAAGGGTGGTCCAGGTCCACTTGTCGTGGCGAGGGGTTAGCGACGTTGAGCCCCAGAGACCCCGGGTCAAGGGTCGCAGTCTGCACGATTGCCGTGGGGCTCACAGATCTGTGACCTTGTTCTCCAGGGCAGCTGCCACCTGCTGCAGACGGTAGGACAGCTGCATCTTCTGCGCGACGGGGTCCTCCTCTAGCGCCGTGATGAGCTGGGTGCGGCAGGGGGGCGGCTCGTTAAGTCGCGCGATACATTACAACGAGGCAGTGCAATAGAAATGCGGCGACGCATCGATTAACTCGCATGGTGTAGAAAATGAGTGTACAGGCGGTGCAACAGCACTGGGACCCACAAGCCAGAGGGCTAAGACGACTGGGTTACGAAGAGGGAGAAAGGCAGGGGCGAGCACTGGCCATAGGCATTGGCCTAGGAAGGTGGCAGATTGTTGGGACAGGCGGAGCGGCCGTGTCAAGTTCTGCAACCGAGCGGCTGCCAGCGCGTGAACCGCTCATGGGACGGGCGTTCGTTCCCGTGGACGTAGGCCGCAGCTCACCTGGTCGTAGTACTTGATGATGTACTTGTACAGCTCGTGCAAGGCCACCATTGTGTTCAGCTCTCCTCCGTTGTTCTGCACAAGTCCGGGTTGGCGTCAAAACAAAAAGAATCGATTAAACCAAGAAGGCCTTGTGGCTGACGGAAAGTGTGAACGCTACTATTACTTTTTCGTGCAGAGGGACGAATGTGTGAAGAAGATGTACTGTCTGCGTGTTTACTTTATTATATAACGCTCGTCGATAAATAGACCGTCCCTGTAGAGGCCTAATTGAAATACGAGTTCAGTTTGCCAATCGCGAAAGGGAATTGTCTAAAGAAAACATTTTATTTGACTGAAAAGCAGCAAACATCATAAATCATCCAAGCTTTAACACATTCATGTCTACATGTATGCAGGTGCATGGACGTACATGTAGATGCATACATGTATGTGTATAATCTAGCGCAAATGCAATGTACACACCGAGTGCTTTGTATACATGCATTATCAGCACGTGGTGAACACAAACATTTCATGGGTGTAGACTACATCGGAACAAGCATCTTTCGCAGTCGTTCCCGATCGTTATGAATAACTAATCTGATGTCATAAGACAGGACATTTCCAGCAGTGCACTATGCAGTTTTAATATTTAACCGGCACTGGGAATTTTATTTGGCAATTATAAAGAAACGCAGACGGACAACGACGAACAAAATCGGCATTGAAGGAAACGTACCCTCGACTCCTCGGCGAGGAAAGCGTTCATTTCCTGATCGCTGACGGGGGACATCTGCCGCACGTCGGCATAGTACCTGTGTGCCAGAGACAAGGGGGCCCCCCAAGGGGCCTCGTCAAGGGCGCCAGAGCCAGACGCCGCTCCCTCGTGAGCCTCGCTCGCAACCTCCGCGTCCGTCATCACACCCTGCAGCGCAACCCGCTCCTAAACCACACCTCCCCACGGTCCATCTGTCCACCCTTCCACAGCGTTCCTCCATTCGAATGTAAATGAGATGTTTATGCTTTACATATCTCTATTATTTAGGCATATACGAGTGATGTATGCATCGATAAAAATGGATGCGCCCTTATGTCCGGTATGAATGCGTTGAATCATACGATTCCATTATAATGCAAATTATTACTTTTGGGTGATTAAAGCATAAAAAGAAATGTAACTGAACCTGAACATTGTAAAAATATTAAAGATAAAACAAGAAACGATACAAATATATAAAAAAAAGATAGATTATTGAATCAAATCCCAACCATGAATTATAACAATCCATCAAATTGCATGGAAGGGAAGGAGGGGGGGTTCCCCGTGAGACATTCCATGCCTACTTGCTACACTGCACATACGAGCACGAGCCTTAGATAGACCATGCGAGTCCACACCATTCGTATAGCGCGCGCACAAACCGTCAGCATGATGAACAGTTGTGTTACTCAGCGGGACAATCGTGTTTTATTCCTAGAAACACTGCGTTGAACAACTCGAAAACACCTTTCATAAATGAATACATTTTAATCTCGTTTACCCCGATAGACTGCCAGAGAAAATATTGTTGGAGAGAATCTATTAGGAATGGCATTTATATACAAAGGAGTGGGGGGGGGGGGGGGTGGGACAGCAGGCATAGAGCCACAGCGCCTTTTGTTTCTCAAGCCAGATTTTCCGCACAGCATGCTACCCATCGTGGCACATGCTCCCTTAGCACAAAGACAACAAGAAAAATCCCCCATGTAGCCTATACAAGCTGTTGGGGCAAGTTCTGGTTAGCGAGCACCTATTAGTGCCGGCACGGAACATGAGTAGGGGTGGTGTGGCCGGTGCCGTGCCGAGGACGCCTTTATAAACCCCGAGTGCTGATGTTTACACATCACAACAGGTACCTGTTGTTGCTTCCGAAACGTCGTGATTTTTATTTTATTTTTATTTTACTTTTAATTTTTTACCTACGTGACTCTACCGAAAAAAACCTAAGAATACGAATCCTTGCAGTCACGAAAGCTTCAAATCTAGAAATACTCTATTTAAGGTTGAAACAACCTAGGGGAGGCTTAGGATCGAGTCATATAATTAATCAACCCCGGATGTCAGCCATGGCCAGGAGTCAAACTCGGGGCACCTAGTTCGTAGCACGACACGCTTACCGATATAGCAGTACAACCGCTCCCCTCCCCAGAGCACACACACACACACATCATACACACGTACGCACAACATGCTCATACACACTTACTTTTCCACCATCTTCTTGTACCGTGGGATTTCCCTTGCGTACAGCAGTTTGTTGATTGGTGAATCCTGGAGACAGGGTCACACATCAGCATTCGCATAACCTTCACCATTACCAGCAACTGCAGACACATCAAACAAATTTCATTCGAACACTGCCCATTCACATTCTGTTCTCGCACAGCAACACACATTCCCCACCCCCCACCTCCCGAAATATAACATCTGCACTAATTCAGGATAACTTGCTAACATACTGGTTATAAAGAGCAAAAGGAACTCTGATACATGTTTTATGAAACCTCAAACGTTTTGGAGTTAAGTGTTATCGAATGGTCAGCACCTGTTATTATCAGTCTGGGATTCTGAAAAAATATAGAATTTTACAGGTGTAAAATCCTCATCTAAAACCACTACTGGCTGTTCCATCAGTATTCTCTGCCATCCATTCATGTCATGGGAAAACAAGCCTTTGAGCTGAAGCGTAAAAATAATTAAAGCAAGGGAGATTGACTTCTGGTCCCCTCTTATTGTCAACCACACAACCCGAGTCCTTTCTCCACTTTGTTCGCTTTGCTGGACATCCATCTCATTTTCCTCTTTCCTCCTGGCTTCTTCCCTGCTCCCCACACACTCCTGCTTGACAGCTGAGCTCCCCTTCTAGTTTCCTACATCACGATGGGGTGGAATCACAGGGAAATATGTCCTACTTATATTCGAACCCTAATTTGCTGTATATCTCCGGTCCCACGCTTAACCTAAAAAAACAAGCCAAAATAATTATACGACCAACACTGCACCCACATAAAAACTTTTGACAAGAGCACAAGGATTTCTTGATCTTTCATTCTGCCGACTTTACCACAATAGCTGCTGGAAGCATTTGGACAATAGAAATTACCACAGCAGCTTGCCCTTGGTATCGCCAACCAATAAACAAATCAAACTGGCACACTTGTGATTGCCCGTCGGCTCCCTGGGTCACACAAGGAGTCATTGGCACAAAGGCACAGCCGTCAGCTGTCTCCGATTTTTTTCCACATTGGCTCCGAGTGCCTCGGGCTGAATTATGTGGTAACTTCCCCCTGATGCGCGCTGCCCACTGCCCCCCACCCTGCCATGCCCCCCCCCCCTTTCCCCACATCCCTCACCCTTCCAAGCTTCTGCTCGACGGTCGTGCACGAATCCATGAAGGTCTGGGCGATCACGGTGAGCGCCGAGTCCGTGATGTCCGACACGTGCACGTCGAACACGAACTGAGGGTTCTTCAGGATGTTCACCCAGAACCTCAGCGGGAGGCTGAGGGCACGGAGACAAGAGTCACAACCAACTCGCGCAGAGAAGACACGGTGACTACCAACTCGCGCAGAGAAGACACGGTGACTACCAACTCGCGCAGAGGAGACACGGTGACTACCAACTCGCGCAGAGGAGATAAATATCACAGCAACATCAAGCCTTACTGACAACATCTGTGAAACATAGCTCCTTCGCGACAGCTTTGCACATCGTATGCAACTCAATTATTATAGGGAGAGAAAGATGTACGGAGGGCGGCTCTCGCACCTGTTCGTCTTCCAGATGTGCAGGGTCTCGGCGTCGGTGATGCCGTGCCTCTCCGCTTGCTCGTCGAGGAAGTCGAAGAAGTACTTGACGGCGACAGGGACGGCGCCCCGTGCGCTCAGCACCACCGTGAAGAGGTCGTCCACAAAGTTCTGCAGGATGCTCTGCGCACGCAACACACACGAGCGGTCGAGACCAGACGCGGCGTGAGCCAAGTGTCGGAGACGGCGGCTCGCCGGTGTGTTTTATTTGGGGTTGTACCGCGCGCACCGTTCCACGCGACGTGTTCGCGTCTTTGCGACAAAGTATTAGACTTAAACCGAGACGAGAGAGGGATTTATAAATGTGCCTATTTTGTTTCAACTGCCACGCCGAAAGATCGAACCGGTGGCATCCCTGATTTAATGTGCACCGTATGCGTATGTATACAAAAAAATAAAGACAAAGATCCCGTGTATAGCGTTAACAGACTGTAACAGCAAGTGCTGTTAGTGAGCAGCTATGAAGGCCGGCACGGCACACGAGAGGGTGGGTGGCCATCGCCATGCCTGTCCGCTTTTGTCTCCCTCGTGGCGATGTTTACACATTGCACCAGCGCAGCGCGCCAACCTCTGTGCTACCACTCCCCACCGTTGCAATACACCAAAACACACACAATTGAACTGTGCCACTTTGCCAATGGAAAATAACATATACACACATATATATAAAAATGTGAAGTATCTTCCATGCACAGGGCAACACTCGGGGATGAGACAAACCTTCATGGAGAGAAGCCGCATCAGATAGATCTCTGGGATGACCTTGGTCTGCGCGCGGTCACGGATGCTGCCCTTGCGTCGCCCGGCATGAATCTCGGGCTCCTCTGTGGCCTTGACGAGGTGCCACCTCCTCACGCCGTCCTCGTCGTCTCGATCCGACGGGCAGCTCGAGCCTGCACGCGGAAGCACGCACGCACACAGGGACATACAAACGCGCACGCACGCAGGGATAAAACACACGAGGAAACAGGGACACGCACACAAACGCCAGCACGCACACACGGACATACAAACGCGCACGCGACGCACACGCAGGGATAAAACACACGAGGAAACGGGGACACGCACAAAAACGCCAGCACGCATGCACACAGGGACATACAAATGCGCACGCACACGCAGGGATAAAAAAACGAGGAAACGGGGACACGCACACAAACGCCAGCACGCACACACAGGGACACGCACGCTCAATCAAATTATCTCTTTTGCAGGTGATGAGCCATATTAGTGCGATTGTGGCCATGCAACTCAAACTATGGACAGTGCAGTAAACCACTGGAGTCTGTGCTCTTTCAACTGAGGAGGAATAGCAAAACTAGACAAACTCTCTCCGCGTGGCTAGCAGACCTCGACAGTGGCATTTAGCTCCTGAATATATTTCCATATGCATGAATAAAATACTACATAACCTCATATCCTGCTTTCCAATATTAGACATACATATTTTAAATTTAGAAATGCAATGCAAATACAACACAATACTCTATAACCTGTTACCAGATAAGTTCACCTGGAAAACTGCATGGATTTTACAAAGCTGTTGTGCATGAAGCCACTGCCATCGCTTTCCAAGTATCCGCCCGCCCTGCGATTGGTTTCCAGCTGCGGCTGACATAAGTGGCGATAAGCTGAATCAGCCCTGGGGCCTGTCCTAGGTCAACTTCAACCTTAGTTAAGTAGCTTGTGCGGTGTGTAAACATCAGCACTGGAATAGCAAAGGTGGCCTAGCATGATGCTAGCCACACCACACCCCAGCGTGCACTTTGGTAGATTAAATAGGTACTTGCTAGCCTGTGTAAAAGATACTTGGGGCATCTCTGTCAAACCCAGTGACCTAAGTTCTAATCTTACAGTCAACACCAGTGACAATTATCCGAACCGGTCTTGGGACTCTCCTAAGTTGACTCGCTCTCAAATGAATACCCGGTGCGATGTGTAAACATCGCCACTCGGAAGACAAAGGTGGGCGGACGCGGTGCTGGCCACCCACCCCCTCGTACCGTGCTGGCCTTTCTAGCTACTCGCAAACAGCACTTGCCCTAAAAGTCTGTTAAGGCCACAAGGGGGCTCTATGTCCGGTCTTTGTGTGGGTGCGTGTGTGAGGCTCACGCGCGCCGGCTGTGAGGTCGCGGTGAGGCTGTGGGCAAGCCCGGTTTTCCAGCGAGCGTGGGACGAGGAACATGCGCGCTCCCTCCTGGATCTAGAGGCGAGGATCAGGGGAGATGGAGCACCGTGAGAGTTGAGATGTGCAGCAACACTCGGAGCGAGAGAATCCATATACTCGTCCTTTTGTGGCGAGGTTGGCACAGCGGTTAGTGCCCCGCGCCATGAACCCGGATGTACGAGTTTGATCCCAAACAAGGCGAACATGAGCGGCGGGGTGGGATAACAAAGCCAATCCTCGTTGACCCCGCAACCTCCACATTCAGCGTGCACGGACCAACCCTGGTAAAATATGGCTCAACAACCCCCACGAGAGGAGGTCTCCAATCAGCAGTGAGAAGGACTGTGACCTGAAGTTATAAATATCCGGCCTTTACTGAAGGAGCTCCCGCTAATGAGCATCACAAAATGTAGATGCGTATGAAATATTCCCCCGAGCAGGGGCATAACCAGTGATGGAAGTGTAGTAAGTATATGGGAGGCTTGACGACAGGATCGGAGGCACACTTGTTTATTACACCAACACAGTAATTACAGGTCACTTGGCTACAGGGATTGCACAACAGCTAACCCCTCTAACCTATGCCAATTCCTCCACTACGGGGCTAGGGGAGGCTATCTGTCCCAGCCTGGTTAAGCTGGGATCCCGGCACCCTGAGTCACCAGACCAGCTTAGTCTGGGCTCTCGGGGCCACGCCACCGGCTTGCCCTGGTCGGCCCTTATAAGGACAGCGAGCCAGGGGAGCTCTGGGGCCTATTCTAGCAGGTCTTCCTTCTTCTCTGGTTAAAGCTGAGCCCCGACCTCGAGCCCTCGAGCTCATCACCTTTTATAGGACTCGCCCCCGAGGGGGGGCCCGTGGGGGATGCACATGCGGACGTCGGTGCGAGCGCCACCCTTGTGTACGGCCGTAACCCCGCCCCTTGTGTTTGTTGGCCATCCGTGGCCATGCATAATCACACCTCAACATCCGTAGCCATGCGCAATTACACCTCTACAGAAGCAAGGACATATATGTACACTGGAGACATTGAAATCCTAAGGCTATATGCCCACACACACACACGTGTTGGTTCTCTGAAAGAAATGTAGTTCCATCCACTTTGGCAGTGTTCCAAGGAGAATATTCAAACTCCACACTCTACATAATTGTGCAATGATGCAACAATGCAGCAATTTAAATTGTTACACTCATGATGCACGCTTCGAACCTGGTGGGCAAGAGTCAAGTACTCTTAGCTCGTGCAAATTATTTGCAAATTATATGTGGCATTGTAACACTTCTTCGAATCTTTTGGGAGTGTGGTGGCACTGGACTGTGGAAGTGATTCAGTCCACGTCTACCAATAAACCTACTTGCTGTACTGTATCTCAGTTACCCTGTTTCCCAGCAGGTGGACAACTCGCATAAATCACAGCTCGATCTCCGTGTGAGCCACCAGCCTTTCCCCCCCACCCCCCATCCCCGATTAGCATGGACTGCAGGCACTAAAAACCACCACGCACCGGCTGCATTAGGGGATCGTTTTAAAAACGCGAACCAGACCACCCCGGAAACCCCGGGGATCGGGAGCAGGACCCCCTTGATTGGTCGGTTGCGTCTGTCGGAGCGAGCGGTGGGCAGAGGTCGCAAACGGGTTTTGATTCCTTACCCGTACCCGTACCCGGCCGCACCAGGGTCGCAAACGGGTACCCGTACCCTACCCGATACCCGGCTACCCGTACCCGGTCGGGTACCCGGTCGGGTACGGGTAGCCGCGTATCGGGTAGGGTACGGGTATCGGGTACCCGATTGCGACCTCTGGCGGTGGGGGAGGTCGGGGGGGGGTACCCTGACTGGGGCCGCTCACCCGGTAGTGCCGCAGGGTGTTGATGCGCAGCCAGCGTCCCTGCACCACCGACGTCAGGTCCTCATCCGACAGCGTGAACTGCCCGGCGAACGTGCTCCGCCACTCTGCCGACGGCACGCGCATCCGTGAAGAGTCGCTTAGCATGCACAAGGCCAAGGCGCAGCCCTGCAATTGCTTGCTCATGCCACTGCTGGCTGAAGGGCCTCCCCCTCAAGGGGCCTCTACTGTACAGACTTGTGCCGGTGGTGGTGACGGCAGCGGTGAGCGTGATCGTGGTGACGTACCGAGCTCTACGGTGTCGACGCTGGGTCGCTGCGAGTACGGCACGTTGCGGTACACCTGGTCCAGGATCTTGTCCTTCACCTGGCCGATGGAGTCGCAGTCCAGAACCCGCACGAGTACGGGACCCTCCTCCCCCGAGTTCTCCACCGTCGCGTTAATCACCTGTCAGTCGGGCAGCAATGAAGACACCGGCTCAATCCCAAAACTAAACTCAACCCCTCACCATTGAGCCATGATAACGACCTCCCCCCCCCCCCAAGGTAGTGTCGCCAGCTCTCATATTCCTGTGCTTTAAAAATCAAACCGAGACCTGTGCACAAGCCGATTTGATCGCTTAATCCCGGGTGGTGGACATTCACTAGTTTTGATCACCAGCTGTGAATTCTGTCTAGGGACACATGCTGCCCGAGCCCACTTACTTTTATGAAGTTAATAAAACGTCTCGAACCCACGCACCATCAGTTGCAAAGATAATGATTCGGACAGGCTGAAGAGACAATGATGAATTATCAACGTGTATGAAATGGAATTGCCATCAAAATTTTCCGTGACTGGAAAATCGCTTTGTTCGAATCTAGTGGTATGGATCTGGGCAAGTGGCATGATGGCTATAGTTCACAAATTTTAATTAGCGTGGAAAAAATAATAAGGATTTGACTTCTAGAATGCTTGTCTGCAGGTTATTATGAACTTTGTATTCTCACCCAAACCTGCAGTCCTACTATAGCTGCAGATTTCCGAATGAAAACATTTAATCAATAAACACAGAGTCAACACGTTATCACGGTGGTATAATCGTACGATAAACTACGTGAAATGCAGTCAACCCTTCGGGCGAGGGGAAATTACTACACAACGCAACATCAATATCCTACAAACGTGGAATAGTACAAGAAATGTCGCTTGATAGTTGAATACCAGCCAGTGCGAGACATTAAAATGCTGCGCTCTGGAGCATGACATCCACGATATCACCCAGAGCATGGATTCAATTCACCGCGTCCCTGTAATTGGACGTGGGAGATAGCGTCGAGACAATCATGGCAACGGTGGCTTCATCCCCGCCCACGCGTCGCCCATGGGCCCACCAGACTCTGGTAGTCGACGTCCTCGCCGAGTAGGCGGGTGTCGTTCAGCGAGTACTTGGCCTTGCGCAGGACGCCATCCACGGGGCCCTTCTCCACCTGCTGCTTGATGGCGCGGAACAGCATGAACAGGGGCTCGCCCGCCGTGTCCTGTGGTGGCACGCGTGCGGAACAAAACACGACCGACGCCACACAATGGTCAACGGTGACGTGCGGGCCAGCGGTGCGGGGGCGTCAATGGAAAGTTTAATGGAAGAGGGGGGTTCCTTCCGGAAGGGTTTAGGAAAAGTTAAAAATGTCACAAATGCGCCGATGATCCATGGTGGGATTATCCGGATTGCAGATTAATCCTGCGTGCGATAAAACGAATTCAATAGCTGTTCAACAAGATAACTGTGGTATATTGCAAGCGTGAGCTTGCTGCTAGAGAGCTATTTTGACTCGTTTTTTTGGCCCTATTATTTTGTCTCCCACCCCCCCCGCCCCCCCCCGGAATGTTGTTGCCTCATTGTAGTGTCAGCGACATGGAAACTATCTAAAGTAGACCTCGGACGGACGATAACGCCGGTTGCACGCAAGGGCAGGCGGCCCAGCTCCCTAGGGACCACAAACACGGTCGGAAAATAAACCGCCTTCTTTAAGAAAAACAAAATAAACCGATGATGCGGCACATTCTACGCCTTTACCCCATTCTGTGAAGTTAAACAATGTGTGCTTATAGCCTCGCTTATGTTCGCTGTATGGCGACTAATGGGAATTTGCAGGGGTGTTCGGGAAAGGCTCAAGGATTGCAATTTGCATGTATATTTATATAAAGAACCAAAGAGTATTTATATAAAATACTAAAGTGAACATTGACACAGTGCTGATCTCCTGTTTACAGCCCTGAGCCAGTCACATTTGCAAATGTGATTTGTAATTATAATCATTCAGCGTGTATCGATAGTTCAATGTGAACGTGCCACTTTAGTGAGGGACTGCTGCTGTGTGGTGTTATCTTGGTTTGGTGTGGTGCTGGTATGTTGTTGTTTTTGCTGCCTTGCTCGACCTTAAAAAAAAAACATCGGACTTAAATAATTTATTGATTTATAAAAAAAATTATTAAGTGACTTTGCTTACCATTTTCTCTATTTTGCACTCCGTTAATTTTTTTAATTGTTTGCTGTTGCAACTTGGATCTTGTTGATCTGCCCATGCTGGACATCTGTGAGAAAGAGCTTTATCGCTCATCGGATTCCTCCAGCCTGTATAAGGATTTTGATTCTATGGAGCAAAGAACCCCATGAGGCCTTCAGCAAAGTGGGTTGACATTGGGCTTGTACATCATTAGTCCAATTGCTATCTTCGTATTATTTCTTGGATCACTGCTCCGTGGGGACCCTTTGGAAGCGCCTCACCTTGAGGAATTTGTAGAGGCACACAGACATCCAGTTTGTCAACATCTTCTCTGCCACCGTCTCCGTCCTGCCACACGGCACAGGGGGGGTGCGCACACGCGCGTGTGAACGCGTGGAGTTCCCCAATGGACAGGTGTGATGAGTGTGGAAACGGTTGTGTGAATTAACGATTTGACTCGTGGGCGAGTGGGACGAGTGGGTGAATGAACAAATTTGGGGGCCAAATTCAAGGAAGGCTTTAATTCGACGGCTGCGCGCATGATGAATAGCGACAAGTTAATCAACAGGTGTGAAAACGAATGAACAGACTAATAAACGGATGGGTGCTTAAATAAACGATTGCTTAAGTTGCAAATTAAGCACTGATTAAATGAATGGGTGTGCTCACTGAGAAATTGTAAGAGATGGAAATTAATTAACCGCCAAAAAAAAACCCTTCTCGGTTAGTGAATTTATGAGCAGACTGATGGGCTCGCGTTACTGGCAGGCGACTGGGGAGCGGGGCTGATGAACGATGGGGGAGGAGAGGGTGGGGGGGGCTGATGAACGATGGGGGAGGAGGGGAGGGCTGATGAACGATCGGGCGAGGAGGCCATCCGAACTGCGAGGCGCTCACCTGCGCAGCATGAGCTTGGGGTTCTTGGCCACGTACTGCCCCACCAGGTCTCCCAGCAGCGTCTTGAGGATGTCCGTGTAGTACTCCAGCTTGTCCTGCAGCGCCACCGTCAGCAGCGACGCCACGCAGCCACGGTCCCGTGCCGAGAACTTGGGTTGTCCCTCCAGCGTGTGGATCATCTGCAGGGTTGACGACCCGAGTACGGAAGGGAACCCGGGGGGGAGTGGGGTGGTCCCGATGACGGTTGCCGCGATGTGACACTTCACACTACGGGGGCAGTGGCAAGGCCCAGCGGGAGCGCGTTCACCGCTCGTTGCAAAGGTTTGCGGCAGAGGTCGCAACCGGGTACCCGATACCCGTACCATACCCGATACCCGGCTACCCGTACCCGGGTCGGGTACGGGTACCCGTTTGCGACCCTGGTGCGGCCGGGTACGGGTAGACCGTGAGTCACTGGTGAGTAACCGTTTGTCACTCATTTCACAACGTCTTGTCTCTTTTCACAATTCAAGTTCCTAGAATCAACCCACCCGCGCCTGCAACATGGCTTCATCCCAGAGGTCGCAATCAGGTACCCGATACCCGTACCCTACCAGTACCCGGCCGGGTACGGGTAGGGTACGGGTACGGCCGGGTACGGGTACCCGTTTGCGACCCTGGTGCGGCCGGGTACGGAATCGAAACCCGTTTGCGACCTCTGGTTTGCGATACGAATCCGGCAGACCGCCCCCGGTTACCGATGCGGGAGTAATTAGCCGAAGAAATATGCGCCACAAATTACTCAGTTGGGATTAAACAGAGCAACGTTGTGAAGCTGCTGCAGATCATGTTTGTGAAGCTGCAGATCGTGTCTGAAGCGTAGCGCCTTCTTTCGCGATAGCCTTGCACTATAAGCATGGAGCAAATACAGTAGCAAACGTAATAAACTGTCTATACTATGAGATCTCTTTTACCAGTGGCAAAATATAATAGTAGGTTTTTACCCTTTTAACTGGTACAAAACTGACACCTTTATTCAAGGCATCATGTTTGCAATGACCACAACACAAGTAGTCAAAAAAGCAAACAAAAAGAAGCAACTCTGATAAGGATGATAATATGCACTGTCCTTGAAGTTGATTGGCCCACACCCGAGACGGCTTTCTTTAGAGCCTAGTCCCCATTGGTGTAGGGCCAGATGACACCAGAAGGCGTACAACTCAAACACAGTGCAATATCAGAGTATTGAGAGCTCGGGGTAAGCATTTACACTATGAGATCTCTTTTACCAGTGGCAAAATATAATAGTAGGTTTTTACCCTTTTAACTGGTACAAAACTGACACCTTTATTCAAGGCATCATGTTTGCAATGACCACAACACAAGTAGTCAAAAAAGCAAACAAAAAGAAGCAACTCTGATAAGGATGATAATATGCACTGTCCTTGAAGTTGATTGGCCCACACCCGAGACGGCTTTCTTTAGAGCCTAGTCCCCATTGGTGTAGGGCCAGATGACACCAGAAGGCGTACAACTCAAACACAGTGCAATATCAGAGTATTGAGAGCTCGGGGTAAGCATTTACACTATGAGATCTCTTTTACCAGTGGCAAAATATAATAGTAGGTTTTTACCCTTTTAACTGGTACAAAACTGACACCTTTATTCAAGGCATCATGTTTGCAATGACCACAACACAAGTAGTCAAAAAAGCAAACAAAAAGAAGCAACTCTGATAAGGATGATAATATGCACTGTCCTTGAAGTTGATTGGCCCACACCCGAGACGGCTTTCTTTAGAGCCTAGTCCCCATTGGTGTAGGGCCAGATGACACCAGAAGGCGTACAACTCAAACACAGTGCAATATCAGAGTATTGAGAGCTCGGGGTAAGCATTTACACTATGAGATCTCTTTTACCAGTGGCAAAATATAATAGTAGGTTTTTACCCTTTTAACTGGTACAAAACTGACACCTTTATTCAAGGCATCATGTTTGCAATGACCACAACACAAGTAGTCAAAAAAGCAAACAAAAAGAAGCAACTCTGATAAGGATGATAATATGCACTGTCCTTGAAGTTGATTGGCCCACACCCGAGACGGCTTTCTTTAGAGCCTAGTCCCCATTGGTGTAGGGCCAGATGACACCAGAAGGCGTACAACTCAAACACAGTGCAATATCAGAGTATTGAGAGCTCGGGGTAAGCATTTACACTATGAGATCTCTTTTACCAGTGGCAAAATATAATAGTAGGTTTTTACCCTTTTAACTGGTACAAAACTGACACCTTTATTCAAGGCATCATGTTTGCAATGACCACAACACAAGTAGTCAAAAAAGCAAACAAAAAGAAGCAACTCTGATAAGGATGATAATATGCACTGTCCTTGAAGTTGATTGGCCCACACCCGAGACGGCTTTCTTTAGAGCCTAGTCCCCATTGGTGTAGGGCCAGATGACACCAGAAGGCGTACAACTCAAACACAGTGCAATATCAGAGTATTGAGAGCTCGGGGTAAGCATTTACACTATGAGATCTCTTTTACCAGTGGCAAAATATAATAGTAGGTTTTTACCCTTTTAACTGGTACAAAACTGACACCTTTATTCAAGGCATCATGTTTGCAATGACCACAACACAAGTAGTCAAAAAAGCAAACAAAAAGAAGCAACTCTGATAAGGATGATAATATGCACTGTCCTTGAAGTTGATTGGCCCACACCCGAGACGGCTTTCTTTAGAGCCTAGTCCCCATTGGTGTAGGGCCAGATGACACCAGAAGGCGTACAACTCAAACACAGTGCAATATCAGAGTATTGAGAGCTCGGGGTAAGCATTTACACTATGAGATCTCTTTTACCAGTGGCAAAATATAATAGTAGGTTTTTACCCTTTTAACTGGTACAAAACTGACACCTTTATTCAAGGCATCATGTTTGCAATGACCACAACACAAGTAGTCAAAAAAGCAAACAAAAAGAAGCAACTCTGATAAGGATGATAATATGCACTGTCCTTGAAGTTGATTGGCCCACACCCGAGACGGCTTTCTTTAGAGCCTAGTCCCCATTGGTGTAGGGCCAGATGACACCAGAAGGCGTACAACTCAAACAGTGCAATATCAGAGTATTGAGAGCTCGGGGTAAGCATTTACACTATGAGATCTCTTTTACCAGTGGCAAAATATAATAGTAGGTTTTTACCCTTTTAACTGGTACAAAACTGACACCTTTATTCAAGGCATCATGTTTGCAATGACCACAACACAAGTAGTCAAAAAAGCAAACAAAAAGAAGCAACTCTGATAAGGATGATAATATGCACTGTCCTTGAAGTTGATTGGCCCACACCCGAGACGGCTTTCTTTAGAGCCTAGTCCCCATTGGTGTAGGGCCAGATGACACCAGAAGGCGTACAACTCAAACACAGTGCAATATCAGAGTATTGAGAGCTCGGGGTAAGCATTTACACTATGAGATCTCTTTTACCAGTGGCAAAATATAATAGTAGGTTTTTACCCTTTTAACTGGTACAAAACTGACACCTTTATTCAAGGCATCATGTTTGCAATGACCACAACACAAGTAGTCAAAAAAGCAAACAAAAAGAAGCAACTCTGATAAGGATGATAATATGCACTGTCCTTGAAGTTGATTGGCCCACACCCGAGACGGCTTTCTTTAGAGCCTAGTCCCCATTGGTGTAGGGCCAGATGACACCAGAAGGCGTACAACTCAAACACAGTGCAATATCAGAGTATTGAGAGCTCGGGGTAAGCATTTACACTATGAGATCTCTTTTACCAGTGGCAAAATATAATAGTAGGTTTTTACCCTTTTAACTGGTACAAAACTGACACCTTTATTCAAGGCATCATGTTTGCAATGACCACAACACAAGTAGTCAAAAAAGCAAACAAAAAGAAGCAACTCTGATAAGGATGATAATATGCACTGTCCTTGAAGTTGATTGGCCCACACCCGAGACGGCTTTCTTTAGAGCCTAGTCCCCATTGGTGTAGGGCCAGATGACACCAGAAGGCGTACAACTCAAACACAGTGCAATATCAGAGTATTGAGAGCTCGGGGTAAGCATTTACACTATGAGATCTCTTTTACCAGTGGCAAAATATAATAGTAGGTTTTTACCCTTTTAACTGGTACAAAACTGACCAGTTAAAAGGGTAAAAACCTACTATTAAACTGTCTATATTTAAAATACCAATAAAAACGTAAGATGTGAGAAATGTCATGATATCAGCTCCCCATAACTCTGTGGTTGAATTTATGGATTTGCTTTGCTGTGCATCCAGTAAGATTGAAGGCAACTTAATTTATTCAAACGCATAAACTTGTCAGAATTATGATGACAAAATAAGAATAAGCAATTGGCCTAAAAGGTCCCATAGATATCCTGTCGTAATTATATAGCGTAATTGCAACTTCTGAATGAAAAATGCACATGCTGTCCAGTAAAGAATAATTAAACAACTCAATGACCTACGAGAAAGAAATGGTGTCAAATAATCGCCATGCAGTCAATCACTCATTTTAAAAACGGACTATCACAATTTATTTACAACTTTAATTACGGACCTCCCGTTGAGTTTCTTATTCCATAAATATTCAGTCAGGAAGTCATTTATTTTTAGAATAATGAAATGAGCAAAGACAATCACGATAACGATGTTTTGAAAAACGGACGGTACGATCATTGTGGACCTCGCATCGCGTGTCAAACCGGAGTATCGCCCCGGTCAGGGCGGGCTGACTTCTCAGCGAGAAGAAAAAACGGGATCAGGGTTTTAGAGGTCCCAGTGACAACCACTGACTTAGCCCCAAGCCTCCAAGTATTAAATGTAATTTAGTGATGCGCTTGTAAATGAAAAACTGTAAATCTGTAAATTAATTTCTCTTTTTATGCCTGCCATCAAATCACTATAAATATGCAAGCTCGGCAGGCCTCAGAAGCCAAGCAGATGTAAAAGCCCGGTCAGTTATTAATTTAATGAGAGGAACGCTTGGCACTGCGAGGTGTTTTTAGCATGGGCGTCAAAAGGTGGCCAGGTAATGGAAGTACAGCAATGTATTGAATCTAGCTGTGCAGAGTTTAAAGTTTTATCTCCATATGTGTATGGGCTTCCGGCCAAATGCCAACCACTTATTGGTGGAACTGGCCAAACATCCAAGTGCATGATCCTCCTAAAAATATGAGTCTTCCATACTCAGTGAGGCATATCCGGATATATAGAAGGAATTTTGTTGTATTATTATTTGTTGTTAATCTATGTCAGCGAATCTTTCCGGAGAGCCTTCTCTCATGAGACCTGCCTCTGGGTGGTTTGTTCGTGGGACATTCACATGAGAATGCAGTCGTAAAACTTAAAATATTATTCAAGGAGAACATCAACAAGGGAATAGGAACACTGGCTAAAAATACTCCACCAGCATTATCATAAACAAACAACGGCGCAGAAATAGCGATCACACAACCAAGCCATGCATTTCAGGCAATGGTCAAAATCAGTGCACACCAAATTGTTAAATTCGGTCACCATCTACACCACAATTTTCCAGATGCTCCATCACTGCCCTGAAGAAGGACCTTTACCTAAAACGTTGGCTCAACATCTGTTATTCTGTTACAAAGCAGTGTTCATGATGGATGGCAGTGAATGGCTTCATGAACGAGGCTTGCTGTGGGTACGGCGATACTACGATGTATCGCAGAGTATAAGAAGATCCAGGATAATGGTGCCGTCCGTTTAGATAAATATCCTTATATCGTGATTGTCATTGCTCATATTACTTTTCTTAAGTATTGCATTTCACGTTTCAAAAATAACACGTGCAAAGATTTAAGTTGTCAATTACTGGCTGTCATAAATCAAACTAACGGTTTGTAAATAATTATCCGCAGTGGTTGCGAGCATGGCAATGATACTAAATCATCATTTACAATGTAAATGTTATTAATGTTGTTGTCCTTCCCCCCGCACCTCTGATTAGCACGGTTGGCTACATACTGTGCGAAATAAATTCAACATACATAAATTAAAATAATTAGTTGTCTTACCGACAGTAAATGCATTATCCATCGCAATGATAAGGAGCCTTATGACAGATTTTTGTTGAGGCAAATGCAGCTGAATAACTTTTAAGGAATCTTAATGTGTACTGGGAGTACAGCAAAGCACAATAACAATACAATTACAAATACATGGGGCACTGATATTGCGGTCAGTCACACGGTGAAAGTTGATATCGTATTGAATTGTGAAAAATTATGTCATGGCAACCTATGTCTACACCGCCAGAAGTCCTGGCCAAGACGTTCCCACATCGGGCAATTTACATTGTGCCCAGTTAAATCGAACAAGAACGAGTTCAGAAGAAAACCGTGCTGTCCATTGGGTGAGCTACACTCTATAATCACTGATCGTTCCATATACATTAGAGGTATGCTGTCTCTATTAGCCCAGTGTGCGTGTGTACAGCTGGCCTATGACCAGATGTTAACTACCTCGCCTGGTATACAAGAGGTTGTGGGTTCGATTCCGACCCTGACGTCTGTGACAATTGGAGTTTACATGTTCTCCCCGCGGTCGCGTGGATTTTTCTCCTGGTCCTCCAATTTTTCCCTCCACAATTAAAAGCGTTGAAATTAATTGGCTGCTACAATTTTCCACATGACAATAAGCCACTTTATTGAGCTATCATTTGTGATAGCCCGGTCACTTCTGAAAAAAAGAATAAAATAGCTCAGTGGGCCTTACCTGGTAGTAAAAAAAAAAAAAAATCATCGCCCGGTATGAGACCGATCTCGGCAACGCTGCCACCCCCCGCTTGCGTGAGCAGCTCTGTGCTGGGGCCACTCACCGTGGTGAGGAAGAGCTTGCTGTTGAGGAGGTTCGAGAGGTGGAAGAGGCCCTGCTCCATGGTGGCTCGGCGTGAATCCGCCACGGACAGACTCTTCGCCAGGGGTGCCTCCTGGCCCGGGAAGAAGATGCGCTCGCGATAGGTGCGGTACTCGAGGAAGGGGATGCCTGTCACCACCAGGTCGCTCGACATGTCTTCCATGTCCGTCATCAGGTCTGGGGGGGGGGGGGGGGGGGGCAGCGGGGCATTGTGGGTAAGAGAGTACAGGTGAGGAGGGTTGCAGCAATGCGTGGAGAGATTTATATTTGCCGATTTTCCCCCCCGAATTGTATCAGAATTGCCGTGTAACGAGAAAGCTATTTCATTTTGGAACACTTGCAGGTAAGCCGTGTCTCCAATCTGTCACGGAACTACTTAAGCAACTACTTAAATCGCCCCTTTATCTACATGAGGGTCACGGTGTTTTTTTTCCCCTCAAGATATAATAATTTCATCTTCTTCTTGGTTCTTTCGGTAAAGTCACGTAGAAGGAAAATAATAAAATAATAAAAATAAAACATAATAAAATAATTCTCACGACGTTTCGGCTACTTGCGTTGTGGCCGAAACGTCGTGAGAATTATTTTATAATGTTTTATTTTTATTATTTTATTATTTTCCTTCTACGTGACTTTACCGAAAGAACCAATAAGATGAATCCCTGCAGTCACGAAAGCTTTAAATCGAAATTTAATTTAATCTTGTAACACAGTAGTCAAGTTGATGCACACAAACGTAATTAACGTGGTGTGCGAGCCTTGAGAATAAGTGTGGGCCGTACCGGAGAACTGCTTCTTGCACTGATCGCGCACACTGATCTCCAGGTCCTCCAGCTGGTTCTGCACCTTCCTGTAGTCACGCAGAAGCCTTTTTGCTCTTCCTCCTGATGGGACCACGGAGAGGGGGGGCACAGCGGATGCATCTCAGGGGACTGTGACCAATCAGGCAAAGCCAACCCACGTGCAAGAGGATCCAACGCCAACTCATCCAATACCCTCCTTGCGCCTCTCACCGAGGTATCCGGCCACCCCTGAAGAGTTTGCTCAGATCAGGGGTCGGCTCTTTAAAGACCGCTTCGTGACACGTCGTATATTGAGGCTCGTCTCGTATTCACATGCATTGCGGCTCTTGAAATAGCGAGTTGTTTTTTTACAGAATTTGAAAATAAATGGCTCCTCTTGTTATTTTGCTTGCCGACCCCTGGCTTAGACACACATCATTTAGATGCCGACAATGACGAGTACATTCATTTGGCTAGGGAGGAGAAAATGGAACAGCTATGCCACACGTGGTATTGAAGGAAGGAGGAGAGCCATCAGGGTAGCCACAGAAGGAGGTCAGAGGTCATCCCGGTCTCCTCCACCTGTAGACGACAATGACGATGACGACGAGCAGCGCCACGACCCCCGAGCCGGCGCCCGCCGCGATCTGCGCCTCGAGTGGGAAGACGACGCCCGAGTCCGTCTCGTACTCCACGGCGCCCAGGTGGTACTCGCGGTTTCCCATCACCACCTGCGGCACCACCGCCAGCGGCAAGGTCGGGCCACAGGGCAGGGGCAGGGTTCACACATTTGGCGAATTTGATTAATTGCCCAGTCATTTAAACGCATCACAGAACTCGTACGACGTGGGTCTTTGGTGACCTCTGGAAGCAAAGGAAAAAGAAGAGGGCTTAAAAAACTGTTGACTAAAAGAACGCGTAGAAGCAAAAAAAGATAGAACGTGTTGGGTCGGTGTCTCGCCAGCTCACCCGGAACTGAGCGGGCTCCTGTCCGTCGGGTGGCTGAGCTGGCGGCTGGCAGTAGAGGTGCTGCATAGACAGGGTCTTGATGACGCACTCGGCCGAGCCGAGGAAGGCCCTCACCTCGCCCTGGCCCAACGCCCGGTCCAGTTCATGTCCCTGCTCGCCATAAATGCTGTGCACGGTGGGGGTGGAGGGGGATTCGTGTGGACATTCGCAATTCGTGACGATCGCGATACATTTTAGGACATGTTTGTTTTACAATATTAATCAGGTGGTCAGGCGGCCATGTGAAATTACGATTTTTTTTTGGTATTTTTTTTTGTTAATAGAATAGGATTAAGATCCTGAATTGCATTCCTACTCAGACACCCAATTTTACATTAGGTTTTCATCTGGATTGAGTTGAGGCCTTCAGCATAGTAACCAATGATTGCACGGCAGTGCAAGTAAGGGGGCCACAAGGCCTGTGATTCATGGTGTGCTTGTGGCACAACACGATAACCGCACCGCTGAGAACTTCAGTGCAAACCCCAAGCTCTCCGCAGAGATAAAAATAGATGTTGTTTGGCGAGTTTAAAGGTCTGGGCTCAATCACAAATTGTACACGGACAGATTTTTTGCCAATCCACATCGGGGAATGGGTCTCATCATGCCGTGCATATCATGGGAATTGTTTACCCATACTTCAGCACACTGGTCAGTGCAGGTTGGTGAAGACAGGGCGCACAGACATTGGAGCACAGTATAATACATCAATGGCACTGCTGCACTGCACTCCGATGACAACCATAACCTCAACCCTCTGTTTTTCTGCCCCGAACCCTAACCTAAGGTTTATAAAATAACAAACTGACGGTGTTTGACTGATAACACACTTCCTCTCAGCCACCATTATGGGAGCTGGTGGGGGGAGGAGGGGGGGGGAGCAAAGCTCAGCCGTGCGATAGCGACGACGACGGCGATCGGCGCGAAAGATCCACCGTTCGCGACAACGCCCACGGCACGGTCACCTCCACGGTGATGAGGCTGCCCGGTTTGTGGCGGAACGGCGAGTTGGGGCTGTCTCGGTTCAGCGGGAAGATCTCGGCGTCAGGGAAGTAATGGAAGGGCTTCCCGTCGTCCGGGGCGAGCTCCAGCGCGTCCATGCGGATAAACACGTCGGCCTGCAGCTTCGCGGGTGCGGAGGTCGCGCGGCCCGCGTTGCCGCCGCCGCTGCCAACGGCGGACAGGGCGGCCCGGACGTCCGGGGAGAGGCACAGCATGCGGTCCTCGGCCTGCACCGTGCAGCGGCCGTACGGGGGCTCCTGCGATCATCACCGATGCTCAGGTTAGCTGTGAGCGTCCGCGAACGAAACGCCGTCGGATCGAGTAGCAGCTCTCCAAAGCGCACAACTTAAAAGGTCGCCCCGCAACTGCTTTGTTCGCGTTGCGAGTGGAGTCATTGCGCAAACGACGCTACGGACCGCAGAGCGGATCGAGTGACGTAGAATCTGTCTCCACCATGAGCAACTGGTTGAGAAAATGCTCGCAACCGATTGCAGATACGTTCATATATAAGCAACTCAGATGCATGCAACGACTTCTCATCAGGCCCCACGGTGTAAAGTGCAGTCTCTGTAACTCTCGTCCACTGTATCTCTCTTGCCTCTCTATTAACTTGACAAAGGGCCATTGCCCGAAACGTCACCTGCTATACATTTTCGTTTTAAGCCCTCCGAGTTATTGACGAACGTATTGAATTTCACGTTGCACAGCCGATCGCTCGGATGCAAGCCCAACTTTTACAGGACTGGTCAGCAGCAAAAAGGCTTGAGACTTGTCGCCAGGTAACTTTTCCACCTCCGAGGTACAAAAAAATATCACGGAAAGGAGAAGAACATTTCACAATACCAGAAGAGGGGAGAAAGAATAAGCATCGTCTCGAGTGGTATGCTGTCTTTTTGGTAACGGACAAAAAACTGGACTTTAATGTCAGCGGGTAGACTCACGAATGTCCCGGGACGGCTACCTGAAGAAGGAGAACCATCCTGGGAAAACCGGGAGAGGGTGGCCAAGTGCCAGGAGCCGTGGCATACAAGTGAAGACATCGTGCTGCCATCCCAGCCAATCAGAAACGAGCAATTTAATAGACACTCTTTTAGCCCCGCCCCCCCCCTCCCGATACGTTCCATTCATTGGCTACCACATTCTGATAAGCTCCCCCACCCCTCTCCTCCCCCTTAACTTGTATTTAAGAACTTGCATCTTGGAATCCCTGCCTCACTGGATACAGTAAATCTGGCTGTGACGGTCCCACCTGATGACGGAGACTTGTGTTGCCTCCGAAACGTCGTGATTTTTTATTATTTTATTTTTATTAATTTTAATTTCATTTTTTTACCTACGTGACTTTACCGAAAAAACTAAAAGTATAGACACTATATGGGCGCAATGATGCATCGATTGCCGAATGCTGCGGGCATTTTGCGTCTCTACCAACGCATACGTGGGCGCAGACATGTAACGTGAGAATAACAGAAGTAAAAATAGAGATAACGCGTGGTTTTAGAGAGTCGATTTAAAAAAAAAACTCAAGATAAGCAAGCACTCTGTGGGGACGACGCCAGTCCTGTTAAACTTCACGTTCGGTTCACTGGTCAATGGCCAAAAAAGGCTGCAAAGTTGCTTAACAAAATTCATTGGGACTGTTCATAGTCAAACCGATGACTTTTTAACGTGAATAACAATGTTTTATAGTGTTTTTATATGCGAACCGTTTAATGCCTGTAAAACATGCCAATTATCAGCAACTACTTGTACAATAACACGATTGCGGATTAAAAGTGTTGGATTTCAACTTGCCTGTCCAGTCAAATTACCACGGCGTTACATAAATGAACGTCCATCAAATTGTCTTGAATGGAAAGTTAAAGCATGCCGAAGGACTTAAGTAGTTTGCCCGAGCAGAGCCGTGTTTAAACATGGACGTGTGGAAAGTTACAACGTGGGAGCCTCGTATGAAATAAATTCACAAATGTTGCTCGAACACATTTGTTGAATTATTCATGACCGTGCCTCCCTCTGACTTTCTCCAACTATTTTCCCATCTCCAGTTTCCCCCCCCCCCATCCCGCCACAAACTTATTTTTGCAAATCCTGACATCCGATACATAACCGATGTTTTGACGTGCAGAGGAATACAAATTCACTCGCTCAGCAGAAGAGAATTAATCGTTATCGTTTCATTTTGCTTATCACTACAATCCAACAATTTCTTTGCTATTTATTTTGTCCCATAAGAACAACGCATCTGCCTTTCATTAGCGGCAAACCCAAAAATAAAAACCTTTAACCCGCCGGATGTTGGAGCCACGGGGTGGCAGGGTTGAACATTTTTCAATTTTGGCCACGGTCCAGTGCGAGTGAGAGTTCTCGCTAATTGTGTTCTGCCAAGTACAGGGTGGAAGTTGGGGGGGGGGGAGAGAAACCTGTAAAATCCAAAAGCTAACATTACACGTGGCTTTATACACTCATCTAACAAAGAGGATTGAGAGCCTGGAAGGCGATCAATAATTGATCCACAGCCGTAACACACCCCCACATGCATCAACTTAAGAGGCTTCGGAATCTGCATGCGAAAGGTTCCTCAGAAGCAAACAGACAGACCGCAGAAGAACTATATTCCCCGGACTTGGCAATAAAAGATCTCTTGCTATCCAGTTGTCGAAATGTAAATGTCCACCATCGTCTCCCCTCTGCGGAAACCTCGTAGTACAGGAATAGGAACTGTTCTGAAAGGTGTTGGTTTACACATTTGGCGTTCTGAGAAGTGCCGGGATTGGCTATACTGTCGGATACCGGCCCCATTTCAACCGCTGTTGCTACCCCCCTATTGTAAACGTAAACAATAATAACATTATGTTATACGACGCAATTGCTTCGAACGTTGTACAGTATTTTGCTGTAATTGAGTTTAATCCAGGTGTCCCAATGAAGTGACATTTTTGTCTCGGGGAGGGCTCTCACTTGCTTGTAATTAATAAATAAATGCCAAGAGCTTACTGCCCGCGAGAAACACCGGTTGTATGTAGCCTCTATCACCACAAGGACGTGTACGGTACCCTCGACAACCCACTGAGGCACGTGATCAGTTTTGCAAGAGAGATGTGGAGGAGACGCTCCTGGAACGTGTATATGCTTACATCACAGGTGCGGGAAAAAACGTATAAATATCGGATGAGTTAGACGTGACACGTACAAAAAAAACTCTAAAAGCAAATTAACTTGGGCAGAACCAGTCGCCGAGGTGGGTATGGCGATCAGCGGTCCAGGCTAACGACGGACGGGGTGGTCGCCAAAGGAGGGGTCGTCTCCCGGGAGGATGTCCACCGTGGAACTGGAGCGGTAAAATCAGCTTGTGCGCGCAGGCGCTGGACGGACTGTTTGATCCCGAGATCGTGAGTTGTCGACGGCTTTAGGAGCCTCCAGTGGATTAACCACGGCTGATGACGATAATGATGAAGAATGGTAAACCACCGTTTACTCTTGCAGACAATAATGCGGCAGAAAATATGACGTCCACCTCGTAGTAAAGAGCACTTTGCTAATTCCCCTCGGATACAAACCCCGACTTAACATTGTGGGGGACCACATGCAACATGGTTGAGTAGCGGGCATGCTCTAACAACCAACAGATTTAATTACCAATTTAAATTCACTCAGAAGTCACTCGGAGGAAAATAAATCAGGCAGGGGGCCAAGGTGCACGTCAGGCACCACCTGCAGCCATGCCAATAGTGGCAGGACTGTGCACCGACGTCTTGGTGATTCAGCATCGGCGAGACCATGAGTTCATGGGTATCAAATTAATGTCAATCATTTGCCCAGAAATGCCTCGCCAAGTCCCAAGACACATTTCCAGAGTGTATTGCATCGAGAGCGATTAAATCAGCTAGTGTGCACATGCTAGGTGGATTATCACATCGTGGGATTTGTGCGAGGTGGTTGGTGGCCGCTTGGAGAGGCCTTCATCGAGCAGTGGATTGAACACGGATGGTGACGATGACGACAAGATGATGGCGACGCATGGTACTCTGTGACGCTGGGGTATTTAAGCGGCCAACGAATACAAAATCCTTATCCGCGAGAATTCAAGATTTCAACCGAAGTCGCCATATTGGCGAAGCTGCGCGGGAGCGCTAAAGAAGGTGGTGGGGGGGTTCTCACGCTGGCGGGCTGGGCGGGCTGGGCGGGCTGGGCGTGCGTGGCGGGCAGGGCTCGTCGCACGCGGGCCGCGGGGACGCCGTAGGCCGAGGAGGCACCGGACCCACGCACGCGCACCAACATACGCGCGCTCTGCACCGAGTCCAGCCGCTCCCCCAACACCGTGATATTGCGGCCACCACTGTCGGCACAACAACGAACATAACGAGAGGTGAGTGCGAGTGTGTGTGTGTGTGCGTGTGTGCGAGTGTGGTGACAGTAGGTGCTCGCTAGCAGCGCTTGCCCCAACAGTCTGGTAAGGCGGTATTGTGAGATCGTTGTCTTTGTGGTGATAGTTGTGAAAGTGGTCATCATGTCCAATGACGACTGTGATGATCGATGACGATTCATCAGGCTGTCACTAATAACAATACAAAAGTAACACGATGATGCCATCGCCAATTTCGACGATTGTGGTGCTGATTTTAGTTGTAATGGTGGTGGTGCTGATCATGCTTATGTTGCTGGCGGTAGTGCCGATGACACCCCATGGTTGTGGGGACGGCACTCATGAAGCTGGTGGTTGCTGTGCTGCTGCCGGCATCGTGGCGATGGCTAAACTGCTTCTGCCAAAATTGGTGGTGGCGGTCTCGGTAACGGTGAGGCTGAAGCTGGCTGCTATGTTTGCGGCGGCGGGTGTTCTATGCCGGGACCTGTAGAAGCTCTCCAGTGGAGACAAGGACACGATGACGGGATTCGGCCAGTACTGAAACGGCTCCAGCAGCGTCCTCTCCGCCATGGGACCAAACTCAACGCGCACCATCACCTGACCCGGATCCGGGGCTGCGCCCGTCACGCACACGAGCTGCCCGCCCTGCCACCTCTCCAGCCTGCAACAGACAGGAACGCACAGTCCACACGGGGGTAAGGGGTTGGTATAATTATTGGGAACGTAATGGTGCATCAATTGAAATATTTTTTTACGGACAACAAACATCTATCAAACCGTGTCCCCAAGAACGAGTCATTTAGCATGAGTGCAAATCAGAAGGGGATTTAAATGCTCAAGTTGCATTTAGAATGATCAGTATGTGGAAGAAACGAGAATGTACAAACTTCACACAACAATTACAAACAAATAAAAATCAGACAAATATATTCAACTCTTGACTTGAACGACGGCCTCGGATTGTGACAATTCGTGGCATCGCAGTGGCGGGTGAGGAACCATGACCATGCCCCTTGCAACGATCCAGTGGCAGATTTAAAAAGCTAAACAACACATCGTTGTTGCAAATATTCAAAATGTTTTCTAAATATAAGTGGCCTACAACCAGTCCCTTGCAAACATGATAACGAATCCCAGTGGGTTTTCGCCTGGTTAAATAAATAAAGAGACTGAATTAAACGTTTGTTGTTATCCGTCTGCTCACCAACTAAACTGATAATTGAGTTGGTCAAAGGTGTCCTCATCGTGTAATTATGTTCATTGTATCAATGATGTACTAATTTTATACCTAAACCAATTAATTCGCCCATAATATACAAAGCACATCACGTGATAATGAAACTGAAAAAAATAAGATACGAGAGTTCGTCCCCGACTCTACACCTCCAAAACGCAATATAACAGCAAAATACGCCACACTCAATTGCGTCACAGTGTGGGATCCAATTGGTGCAGAAACAACTGCACTCGAAAAGCAATCGTGCAACAAAAGTTCTCAGCGATCAGGGAGGGTTAGTCCCACACAGAGCCCCCCCCCCCCCCCCCCCCCCCCTTGCAGCGGCACAAGGCAGCAGGAGGCAACGATGGCTATTATTGCACCGACGATTCCCAAGAGGAATAAAACCCAGCATACAACCGTCCCATTATCCCGCAGCCATCACAAATTCTACTGGCCACAACCTTAGCTTTTTGAGTTGGTGGTGGTCTAAAATCGATGCTCTGACAGCACTGCACACGAGGTGAGCGCAGCATGGCCGGTGATGTCACTCGGAGTGCTCGGCAAGGTGGGGGAGGAGGGGACCAATCCATCATTGTTCCAACGATTGTCCCCCCTTACTTCCGTTTGCGAATTCACGTTTCTGAGTATTTTTACTCTTAAAAAGGCACCTCGGCATCATCATCTCCGGCGGTTCCAGACACCCAGTTACCTCGCTGGTTGCCTCTAGAAAGTGCTCACCCCCTCCCCGCTCCCTGCCCATCTACGCATGTGGCGTTCGGGTTGAGCTCTCAAGAGCAACTCTCCTCTGGGCGCTCTCTCCTTCCCAACATGTGTTTCACATTCGCTTCAGCATCCTGCTGCCTGACCCCTCCCACAATCCCCCACGCTCCCCCACTCCCTAAAGCTCTCCCGAGCTACGTCCGACGGATGAGTCGAGGCAGGGCTGGAACTGGAAGCCTCGTCTCCGAATCTGTGTTGCACGTTTCCCCGCAGCATGTTCTGGAATTTTAACAATGCACCCCCCCCCGCCCCCGCCGCCACTCCACACACCCCCACAGCTAAACCACCACCACCCGCCCCCCCCTGCTCTCGCCATTACACGATGCTTCTAGTGAGGTGGCAAAAAAAAATGTTGAACTCTAAATCTGTAGAATGTACTTTATGTTTGAAAATAAAATACTATTTGTTTCTTAGTGGGGGGGGGGGGGGGGGGGAGAAACACTTGCGCACATTTCCCATTGAAAAGAGTGCGCAAGCCTCGTACACATTTCCTGATGTTTAAAACTGTGGCCTCAACGTAGTTACAGAACCCAGGGGGATGGCAGTCTACACTGGTGCAGGTGTTGAGCGGGAAATTTATAAGAAGTTGAGCTCGTGTCCCAGAGGATACAAATCCGCACGTGCATGCAATCATGCGCACGTTTGCACGCGCACAGACGTGTGCACAAAAAAACAAATATCCCCCGTATAGCCTCTAACAGATTGTCGGGGCAAGTGCTGTTCGCGAGCACCTACGAAGGCCAACACGGCACACGAGGGGGGTTTGTGTGGCCAGCTCCACGCTCGACAGCATTTGTCTACTCAGTGCCGATTTTTTACAGACCGCACCAGGCACTTTTTTATGGCTTATTCGACCTAGGCGAGGCCCACGACCAGTTCAGATACTGTACTCGTCACCGATGTTGGCGATGAGCGGGAATCAAACTCGGGTCACTGGGTTCGTACCGCAGTGCGCCAACCACCGCGCCACCACTCCTCTCAGCACAAAACACGTGCAACCACACATTTTTTCCCAATCGGACTGGAAAAGTAACAGGCATTGATTCCTATTGTTTACAATTGTATTCCAGTTGTGTTATTTGGAGCCATTTAATGAGGTTCAAAAAAATGATACTCAACAACGGTCACAGTGAGCAGTGTACCAACATGTGTCGGGGAACGACCCTGCAATTGAAGTAATACAACTTCAATTACGACTTTATCAACACTCGGGACACTACTTTAACATGGCCCTGAATTCTCAGTGCTGGAATAAACCCCTTTTATGCAACCATTGTTGAGCCGATTGAGAGTAACAATTTTTTGATACTTGAGAACCGGCATTTAAACGGCTCTGGCTCAGCACTCTGAACATCTGCAAAAATAGTTTCATAGCTCATCGGATTTCTCCAGGATAAATAAAGATTCCGATTCCAGAGTGCTTGAACATAGCAAAAGCCTTCTGAACGACCAGCCAATCCAGTAATGAGGAATCCTGCGTACTTGAGACAAGACACATCCTGGCGCTAAGCTGAGAGTCGATGGATCCAGGCCAAACTGCCACCGGGGTTAACACATGGCACCGGGGGTGACGTCTATCTGACGATTCTTGCCATCACCTGCAGGGAGTGGTTCCCAGAAACACATCGACTTCGTGGCCGGTGTCCAAGTGCTGCCCGTGAATGGTCACTCTTGTTCCTCCAGACACGGGGCCCCATGCAGGGCTCATTTCGCTCAGCTGTGGGTCCTGAAAATACGCAAAGGAAATTCAACGAGCGCGCAAATAAAATAAACACTCGGCGATAACAAAAAGGAAACAATTCGGCGTCCCCACGCTCCTTTTTCAGCGTTTGGCAGGGCCCCATCTGTGGCCAGTTGTGAGCTAGTGGTATAAACGCGATGGTAGGAAGCCATCTATGCTTAATGCTACCAATGCAAGCCTCCGTCACAGACTGGTTCTTACATTAATTATCGGCCACAGAGGGATGATTGGCTAAGTTGAACATTGCCAGAATTTGAATTAATAATCTTGGGATTGTGAGTCCACAGTTCTACTGACTGCACTGCCCTGTCATTGCCTTTTGAGGGAATGGGTGACTAATTAAATCCCATCAGGTACAAACGTCACATAAATGATACACTTTTTGTCACTGTTAGTATGCTTACATACAGGCAGCCAGCGAGACCGACAGGCTAATAGACAGACAAGACACACGAACAGATGGATGGATAGCCGGCCAGTCAAATGAAGAGACTCGCAAACAATTATATAAGCAGACACCACACACCTTTTCATCCTCGCAGAGGCTTTCGGCTGGTGATCGAACAAAGATGTTCCATGTATTTTCAGATGAGCTTCTGCAGCCATCTGGAACGCTCTTCCTTCCGATATTAGGAGCTATGCATCTTTAAATCTAGAAAATTATTTCTTTAAAACTGCTTTTTCTGTTTGGTGTGCGTTGTCCTTCCCCCGCACCTCCGATTGGCAAGGTTAGCTATGTACGGCGCAAAAGAATATCAACGTACATACATACAGATGAGCAGATGAGCAGACGGACAGATGGACAGACAGGCCGCGGTGCGCACCGTATACGTGAAGGCCTGTGGGAGTGACGCGGCCTCCTTGCCCTTCACCGTCACCCCAACGTCAACGGGCCCCAAGTCCGGCAGAGGGCCCGTCTCGCACACGATCCTGCACAACACCCCACGGTATACAAGAGTGAGGTCTCTCTCGCAGTGAACACGCAGTGCACAGGAGAAGCCTCGTAACAATTCACCCGCGGAAACATTTGGCTGAATGTGTGCTGCAGTGCGATTTCCCGTAATTTATGAATGAGGTTTTATTAATCCGCAGCGATGTCTTTCGGTTGAAATACATTTCATATCGCCACTTTATTTTTGCAAATTTATCAAAGTATATGGTTTGACAATTTACATGTTGACCTGTGTACGTGAAGCAAGTATGTTAACCGACAGTAATGGAGTCAAATGAATAAATTAAATGCTTCAGTTAATTTAGTTAACGAGTGTCAATATTTGGCTGCATGACAAGATTTGACACACACTGTGCCACCAGTGGCTTTCATCAGAATGCCACCTCATAATTGTAAGGCCATCAAGCACAGCGCGGCGTGCATTGACACAAAGCTTCATAATTAAAGGATAAATCTCATTAAAACCAATAATTAAAAACGCTAATTAAAAACGAATTGGCCAAACATCGCTCTCGTTGAGAGAAAAGAAGTCTATTGAGAATCAATGAGGCTTTGTCGGATGAATACCAACACGGTTACAAATCTCAGGCAGCTGGCGGGGTGGATTAGGCGACAGCGGTGCCTTTACCTGACGGACACCTGGTAGAGCTGGGGCAGGATGGTGCAGGCAGCGCCACCGACGCTCACAGCCTCCACGTCGGAGACGTCCTTTCCCAGGTTGACCCCGGAGATGGTCACCCGCGTCCCTCCTTCCCGTGGGCCCGAGGTTGGCTCCACCTGGGTCCAGGGTAACAAACCCAAAGCGCGATCGGAGAGGGTCATCAAGCTGCTGTGCAAAAAGCGCAACCAATCACCGTTTGCTAGTGGTAAATAGTGCAGCGTGTCCTGAATGTGAAGAGCGGATCTGTGACGCGAGTTTTTTTTGTTTAAGATCCTTAAAATGTAAATTTTTTTATTCAAATCTACTGCAGGCAGGCCTTCGACACTTCACGTGGACTCAAAGTGCACCTAGCATGGCACAGGCGCCGTGGTGACTTCACAGCCACTTAGTGGTGTCATATCATGCAGGTAGAGGTGGCTACGGATGCGGCGCTGGAGGCCGCAGGAGTGCTGGAGGTGGAAGGTGGGGCCTCACGCGTGTGATGGTGGGGGCCGGGCACACATCCTGCGAGGGAGAGCCGCAGTCATCCTTGAAGGTGCAGGCGGCCGGCTCCCCGCACCACACGCACGCGCGTTCCTGCGCCACCGCCTGGCACAGGCTGCAGTCGCTCCTGCCAACCCCGCACTTGTACAGCGTCACTACGGGACCAGGCGAATGGCAGGGAACAGTTTGTGAGAAGAGAGAGAGAGAAAGAGGAGGTTTAGTCACTGCGCGAGGATTCCTTTTACCCCTCTTCATTTCGGATTATGCAGCCAGGATATTTTTATTTCCTTCATCTGCTTGGGTTAGATTTGACTAATTGGGTGGTGGCAGTGGTTAGAGCGAGCACAGTGCTCACAATCGGAAATCTTCGAATTCAAATCCCTCTCGGGGATTGACTCTGCGCATCATATTTCCGGGAAAATAGAACAAGTTCCACTTTTGTGGGAACTCAGCAATGGTTGTTGTTCCCCTATGGACAGACTCATTCTCACGACTGGAATGTAGAATTTACATCACTGGCTCAGGGCTGTAAACAGGATACGTGCACCCCCCCCCCCCCCCCCAATGCTTGGTCGCAACAGAAACAAACACAGTGATAGATTTTTACCCTTTCAACTGGTACAAAAACTGACACCTTTATACAAGGCATCATGTTTGCAATAACCACAACACAAGCAGTAAAAAATGCAAACAAAAAGAAACAACTCTGATAATGATATGCACTGTCCTTGAAGTTGATTGGTCCACACCCGAGACGGCTTTTCTTAGAGCCTAGTCTCCATTGGTGTTGGACCAGATGACGTCAAAAGGCGTACAACTCAAAAACAGCGCACTATCAGAGTATTGAGAGCTCGGGGTAAGCATTTACACTACGAGACCTCCTTTACCAGTGGCAAAATATAGTGATAGGTTTTTACCCTTTAAACTGGTACAAAACTGACACCTTTATACAAGCCATCATGTTTGCAATAACCACAACACAAGCAGAAACAAACACATTCGTGGGCAGAATCACAACTTGACAAGACAGCCAAAAACTCACCCCTTGATGCGTTACCAAAAGGCTAGTGATGGAGACATTAGTATCTTATCGACAAACAATGGATTAAATTAAACATTCAGCATCACGTGAATCTGGCACGTGTAGCTTCACTAAGTTTACTTAATCGCAAGCGCCATGCTTACGGTTGGCGAGGGCATCGATGGACTTCTGCGGGTCGCTTGACCAGCGCACAGAGATGGGTGCCTCCAGCTCCTCGGAATCACTGCCATAGTCGAACTGAAAGGCAGATTGTCTTGGCATAAGTCCACGCAAAAGCATTAGCAATACAGGCATGCACACATTCAAATTCGGGATTAGTTTCTGATTGTGGTGTTTTGGAAATGAGATTTTCAGATTATATTCCGTATTTTAGTATTTTCAGACTTAAAAATATTACATGTTAAGAGCGTTCACCGCTTGTGCACTGAATTGAATCACTTCGGTAATTTTAAATATTAATCACTTAAATATATTTTTTGTTACAGAAAGTTCCATTAGTAAAACATTAAAATTAACGTAAAGATTCAAATGTTCTTTTTAAGCAAAAGCAACATCACAAGACATCAAAATGATGTCCCGTGATGGCACTCTTGGTAGGATAGGCATCAAAGTGATGTTTCTAGGTCCAATTTTGCATGTTTCTAACCCACATCGAATGCACAACGGATCAAACCTACGTGACTACAGTGAGCCTGATGTCCCGCTGACGAGAGGCAGTACATCTCAATCAGTCCTCACCTGGCTAAGCAAAGAGCATTGGCTGAATTATTGATTTGATTGTTTTAACGCCATTATCCTTAGCAGTTAGTTGTGCAACGTGATTTCCCGCTGCGGGACACATTCGATCAGTTCAGAAGAGCCTGGGAGTGAGCGAGCACGCCAAGATGCAATTTGGTGCGTGAACAACCCCCAAAAGCCGCTGCTGATGAAGCAACGGCTTTTGTTCTAGCATCAGCAGTATTTGGCCGTGTGACCAACCAGCACAGTGTACGTTTGTCAGAAGACGCATGGGTCTTCTCTCGAGGGACACAGATAGAGGAATGATTCCCCGTCCTCGCCTCTTCATGTCCTCAGCGCACCCACAAGCACGCGCCCACAAGCATGCGCGCACAAGCACGTACGCGCGCACATCTGTGGTAGATTTACGCACAGCTCTTCGTCTTGGCTTGGCGGGACCATTGTGTTTGTATTTTTCACGTTATTTTACAGAGCTTGCAAATAGTGTGGGAAGCTTGCACGGCAAATGCCTTGCGATTTATGATTTTACCCCCCCCCCCCTTCCCAAACATCCTGATGCCAAGATATATCATGGTTGCCCCCAGAGCGTTAATGCATTTCAGTGTTTGCCTTGTCTTCAATTAATTTTTCAAGTAAACCGCATCAGGTCCGGGGTCCAGTGCAGCTTATATTCCTGAAAGTTTTTCCTACATGAGACTTTGATGTGCTGGAAAATTAGCAGAACCGTGTTTGCTGGGGGAGCAATGAAGAGTGCTGCAAATAGGTGCATTATTGCAATACTTTTTAAAAAATGAATAAATGGATATGGCTTGATTGAATCAAAGTCCATTATAACCCCGATGCCAATTGCTTGCGTACATGTACAGCCCGTTTTGTCAGTACACCGCTGACCGAGGGCCTCTCCACATCTTGAGGGATATATGACCATACTTCACCACGCTGCTCAGCGTGGGCTGTTGAAGGTGACCGGAAGTGCAGAACAATTGATTTTGTCGCACTGCCCCCTACTGCCCCAAACGCCTACCGAACCTGTCTTTTGCACATGGAGGTTACCCCCCATCCACGCACTATCCAGGCTCAAACTTGCTTAGCTTCGAAGGTCTGATGATATTTGGTGCATTCTCGGTGCTTTCATCAGAAGCACAAAATGCTGACGGATGATGACACTAGTTTCCCTGTTTTTAACTTGGTAAGCCACATGTGAGACTCTCTCTTGGGAAAATCACAAGGCTAACAAAATTTATTTACACGAGGAAAATAATGTGCACATATTTCTGAAAATTAAACAACGGGACTCGTGCCATGGTACAAGAACACAATTAACATGCCTTCCGACCGATAATTCTACGGGGCCGTTTTAATTTATGGCGCCGCCACTCTTTCGTAATTCTCTACAGAAATCACCGGGGCAGCTGTTGGGGGCCGAACTATTGACACCGCGCAAATTGACCCAGCGGCGAGCACATTGCCCGCCAGGCTCTAACTTTTTTTTTTATTGCAGTTGCTAAGCAGAAGCCCTAGACTTTGTAACCTCAAGCAACCATCGGGAGAGCAGACTCTCGCGAAAATGGTGGCGAGGGTTGACGAGCCTACTCAATCGAGTACGGCTACAGACAGATGGAAAGACAGATGGAAGGAGCGAGCTCCAGGAGGGCCAAGCTGTGCGAGTTAGGGAACTGGAAGACAAATGCTTCGTCCTGCGGTGAGGCAGCTGGACAACGGTGCGGGGCGAGGGGGAGAATCGGTGCGCAGAGACCGCGTCCAGGCGCTGATGGATGGGGCCGATCTCTCCGACCGAACAGCGGGCTTGGGCGTGTGCATGCCGGTGAAAGTCTGTCGCCGGCTCTCTGGCCAGGCCTCACCGTTCCCGAGCAGCTCAAAGCCCACGTGTCCTTTTCCACCTTCTCCACCACGGCCGGCGAAACGACGACTCCCAGGTCGGTGGCGACGGCGCACTCGTAGGTCGCCGCCTGCGGGCAGACACAAGCGTCAGTAAATGGCGATCGTATTAATTAGCTCTCACGGCGTGTTTGGTCAGGTTGTACCACGTGCTATTCAGCACGGTGTCTGGACGTTTTCACTGCACAAGGCTGGGAGCTTCTTCGGGATATGAAGATCAGCTCATCGAGAGAAATGTCGGATATACTGCCGAGCAATATAACCTATATACACGTCGGAAACCGAGATGGCACAACCGACATGGACCTATGCAGTAGATTGTGGCCATTGTTTGCCCTATATGGAGTACTCGTCATACTGCAGGCAGACCATCAAACTCTTGAACAGTGCTCAAGAATACACGACACAAAAACAAATGCAGTTGATTTGCATAGGATTGGCCAACAAGAGACGCGTGGATTAGAGGCATCTTACTGTATCAGCGATTTGATTTTAAATGTTTTACAGTGTGGTGACTGTTGTATCTTTAGTGGCTGCAGGGGGTCGCATTAACCCTTCAAATAAAACCTGCAAATCAAAAATAACCGAGACGCATTTACATACCGCCACACCCACTCAACCTCTACTCATGCCCACAGTGAATGGCTTAATCTTTGCTGAAACTGGCACTGCCGAGTGCTGATAGGTTGCACCTACTCCCAGTTTCAACCCCACCCACTATTTAGCTAGCCCCGCAAACTACTTTGCTAGTCCCAACACATGACTCCACTGGCCCCGCCCACTACTCGGCTAGCCCCGCCCACTACTCGGCTAGCCCCGCCCACTACTCGGCTAGCCCCGCCCACTACTTGGCTAGCCCCGCCCACTACACGGCTAGCCCCGCCCACTACGCTGCTAGCCCCGCCCACTACTCGGCTAGCCCCGCCCACTACGCAGCTAGCCCCACCACTACTGAGCTGGCCCCACCCACTACTCAGCTGACTCCACCTTTTCCCCCATATCATGTAGCCGCTGGAGGTCGTGACGAGTTTGTTCATTGCTGTTGTTCTATACTCCTGTGCGGTTCCTGTTCTGTTGTAATGTGCACCGATGCTATTTTATTGAGGGCAATATTGACACGTAAAGATTGACCGATTGATCGATATGGCCACAACACATTTAAAAACCCGGAATAAAATGATTTTCACGAAAGCTTCAGGGTACCAGGGACAGCCGTTTTCAGAAACCACTAGACTGTCCTGGCCATCGTTACCTTGAGGAGGCCCAATCGCTTGGCGAGGAGAGACAGCTTCCACGGCCGCCCCGCCAGGACCAGGGAAGGCTTCACCAGCGCCTCGAGGCGAGGGCAGGCTTGCGGGCCTTTCATGTCCAGATTAGAATCACTGCTCTCACGCTGCTGGTTACGCAACAGTAAAAGGCATACAAAAATGCAGTCGTTAATGGGTTTTTTTCATTGCTTAATGGATGAATGTGTACATTTCAGATGACTTCCAGAGTACAGAAGAACCCGCATGTGGTTCTAACCACAAGTGCGTAGAGATGGATGTTGTCATAATAACTTTGATCCGAAACGAATCCCAGTTTCCAAAAACTGGATTTTCTGGTTTTGGAGAAACCTAATAATATTTTTTTCTATCATTTCTATTTTTAATTTGTTTTCTCAGGATTATGTTTCATTGCTCTGTTCAAATTGGTGCCATCCCAGCTTCTGGCTAGAACAGGAGAGAAACTTTTGTCCTGCTACAGTCTCATGCCACCGAATGATAATCTCATAATGCACGGGCAGGTGATGCGTGACTCACGGAGGGGGATGCTGGCACGCTTCCCAGCTCATGACAAAGGACACCGCGCAACACAGCAACCCACCACATCTAACCAGCCACTGCAGTTACGCTCCACATGGCATGGCAAACACAAATACAATACTTGGTGCGTCATCATCATCATCATTCGGTCCTGTAGCGGGGTGGGGGGGCTGCGAAGACTGAGCCCCCCCTTCTGCCAAAAGTTCAGCTACCCCCATTTCTAAAAGCTTCGGGTCAGGTCAAAAATGTTGGTACAATACAGTATTTACATAGGCGGGGAGAGCTGAGCGCAGAATGCACGACAGGCAAAGGGGAAATTGCATCGTTACTCACTCTGTTTAGCGTTTAGCATTTGTTCAAAGTTTGTTTACATTAACAGTGTCGTGTCCTCCCACAATCTTAAGTTTTTATATCCCCCGCCACCCCCACCTCCTTTAAACAAGGTCATGCTATGGGGCTGTCATCAAATACAAACAACCACTGCAGCAGGCATTGCCTGTAACACCTGGATTTTTCTGGTGATCTCCTGCCTGCAAGCCTTCAATCAATCAATGCATCACACGATGGTCTGTGTGGTCGAGCAAAATGAGAAACTTTCTGAACATCGCAAGCGTTACAGAATTGATGCTGCACCTTCAAGCCACTGGCTGAAGGACCGAGGCAAGGGTGGTAGTCTGAGCGATAACCCCACATAGGTTTTTTTTTAGAAAAGAGAAAAAGTTGAAGAAAAAACTAAAGTAACACACACTGGAGATAAAAAAATATATAGATATAACAGATCAAAAGGTAGATTTGAGTTTTAAAAGTGGTGGTAGATACAAAAAAAAGAGATTGTAAAAGGTTAAACAGATTTTTTTAAATAAAGCAAAATACAGACGTCCTTAATGATACGCGCTAAATATTAAGTGGGTTGCATGCTTACATTGCCAATCACGTCTCCTTGGCTGCAAGCTCCGCTGGTGCACGTCTGTTCCTCCACGCACCAGTTGCATGGCCAGGGGCTCCCAGAGCATGCAGCACAACTGCACAAGGACACAGCGATCCCTGCTCATCAGTCTCTGCGGGGTTACTCGAACGAAAATCTTGGTTCCAGGGCCACAGAGCATAGAGTGGGACACAAACACAGTGTGTCCAGTACAGTGCTCCTGCAAATGATAACTTCATGGAAGGGCCCAGGTATTGAACCCCAATGTTCAAGCTCTGACCATAACCAAGAAATGAAAACAAAATAATTTTATTCCACGAACAGAACCACTAGCAATGTTTACTAATAGGGTTTTTCCCCTTTTTTCTGGCAACAAAACTGACACCTTTTGCAAGGAATCATGCTTACATTAACCACAATACTTGCAGTCAAATGCAAACAAAAAACAATACTCTGATAATGTATGCATTGTCTTTGAAACTGATTGGTTCACACCAGAGACAGCTTTCTTTAGAGCCTAGTCTCATATGGTGTTCGACCAGATGACGCCAAAAGGCGCACAGTTCAAAGACAACGCACTATCAAAGTAATGAGAGCTCGGGGTGAGCAGCTACCAGCTACATCATGGGACCTCCTTTGCCAGTACCAAAATATACTAATAGGGTTTTTCCCCTTTTTTCTGGCAACAAAACTGGCAAAAGGTGTCAGTTTTGTTGCCAGAAAAAAGGGGAAAAACCCTATTAGTATATTTTGGTACTGGTAAAGGAGGTCCCATGACACTAGCAATGTTGTTTTATTCTATTCACATTTAAATGAAAAATAGCGCCATTGGTGTTACGTCTCAAGACAAAGTAACCATCGGATTCTCACACAGTCGTGCACACCACATGTTAGAGAATGGCCCCGTCAAAGGCGAGAGCCGATAGCCGCTTCACAGATCCCTTCAAGTCACCTTTTTAGTATCCACACGCGAGGCAGTCCACTTTCCCACACACTGCCACAGTGAAATGTTTATCGCACAAAAGTAAAACAGTGACATTTAATAATTTCCAAAACATGGAATTTGACCAACTTAAACAAAACAAAAGTTATATTCAATGTGACAGGGGTTTGTTGGTGCAGCGATCACGGATTGGGTTAAGACCTTCAACTCGCTGCACTTGGGAACCCAGTGCATCCACAGACCTCGGCAGTGCCGGCTCACTGCCCTGCTGTGTTCCGGTGGCGATGGCTTCTCCCAATTGTGAGATTGTGACTTAAAAATCACAGTGCGGGGTCAAACCTATCACATCATCTTCCAGGGATGGTTGAGTAAGAACATCCAGGAGTTTATCTTCACGAGCTTGGTCCCTTGCTTTATTTATCAAAAAAAGCCACACTGAATCACGGGACTCGATTGTCAGGAGGGTCCTGCATTGGGTTTTTCTTTAAGATGTTTTCAGCTAATTAATAAATGATTGTACATGTGGGAAGAAACCGGAGAAAACCCACAGATGGAAAACAGATGGTGATTAGTCAACTTACTGTCCTGCCTTCGCGTGGCGAGCCAGGGTATGGCGCGCCTCTCCGACGCCCACGTAAATGGAGTTTCAAAACATTTGTGTGACCCACAAACCCTCGCTCGTCTCCACAGCGCTGGATTACAGGCGTGCGTGCCACCGCTGCCCGGTTCCGTGCCATGTGACTGGGAATTTCCCTCCACTGGCTCAGGACCACCAGTTGCACATGCTCACCGCCCAATTGACAAACCAGTCTCAACTTTTACGGGGTGGTTCTCCATCTGGCCAACGGACAAGAGGTAAAGCTGTCGTCGCATCAAAAACACGGCCGCCGCGCATTTGTTCGAGCTCAAGGAGGAATATTCTTTGGGTCAACTTACTGTCCTGCCTGTTATTTTCTTTGAACCTATGCACGTGACTTTACCGAAAGACCTAAAGAATATGAATTCCTGCAGTCACGAAAGCTTTGAGTCAAGATTCAAGGAGGAACTGAAATGTCTCTCAATCGGCAGCTCAGAACGCAAACAGCGTGAACGTGCAGAGAGAACACGCGACCCCAAATTCACGCGCTCTAACCACCGCATCTAAAAAAAAACTACTTTACTTTAATTTACAGCTGCTTAATTGACCCTAAAATTACTCATCACAAAGAATTGCAAATAATCTTGATTTCATAAAATAAACATTTATGAAAAACCTTATCCATTCTACTCATCAAAATCGTTCCCATACAATTGATAATCAAGGGGTAGTGACCTCATATAACATAAACGTAGGGTTCAAATGGTATTCAAATTAGACATTCATGTCCAGTATAGGCATCCAGCCAGCACCCGTAGCACTGTATACAATGACATGCTCCATATAATTGCACTACCATGCTGGCTATTACTATAGGAAAATATGAGAACTGCATTTGGTTGGCAGTATTTACACTACGTTTTTCCAACGTCTGAACAGAAACCCAAGTCAATCAGGGCTCCCACGTGCGTGTATTGGATGAGCGTATGCTCAACCTCGTCCCCCTAAAAACACTTCTCTTTCCACTGCGTCCCTCACACCGCACCAATTTAGAATTCTCTCCCGCAGTCAGTTTTCCCAAGTCCATGTAACCTCGCTCAATTCAAAATAAGCGTACCAATTATAAACTATTGACGCCTCTCAATACCGCCTTTTGTTGCTGGTCGTTTGAGAATTTTGGGCCCAGGACTCCCTCTGCAACCGTGATGATTAAAAACACTTTTTTGTAATAATCTGCTAATAAATTCTGGTCACCAATGTTCCATGGCGTCTGGCAGTCAACGGCCCCTTGGGCTCCGTTGGGTGTGGGTCTCTGGGGCAGTGAGAGCTAGGCACACAACGCGTGCGCACACGCGCATTCTTCCCGTACAAGCCCAGACAGCGGCCGAGTGCTCCAGGACAAATTTCCATGAACTCATCATTGCCGCGCCAAGGAAAGTACGCAGTTTATGAGCGGGTACGGCAGGCCACAGCTTCCTCACACCGTCACCGGGGGGGAAGGGTGTGCGGGTGTTGGATTGGAGGAAAGCAGTCTATATATCGGTCCAAATACAGTGAACAAATATGAACACTCTCCAGCAACGTGTGCCCAAAGACGAAAGTGCACAACTGCGTAGGGTTTTGCGGACATGCTGGAAAGCGGCGATCAGATGGGCGTCTGTTGGTCGGCACGATGTCCCTACGTTTCTCTCTGCGTGCTGGGAGCTTCTCCTGGAAATAAATATTCGGTTGTTTCTTAAATCAGCTATTTATACTTAGCCAAGCGAGTTTTTTTATTTTTCCAATCAGTGCATTTTACCTGCTACGGGCATCGAGGTCAGAAACGTGGATGAAAACAATAAAAATGGAAAAAATGAAAAGTGCAAACAACAAGATGCACCCATGGAACACAGGGAGAGGAATACTTGGACTAAAGGAACATATGCAAGTTAGAGACATCGAATTGATTGCGATGAAAAGGGCTTCGGCAGAGCACACCTGGATGGACAGGATGACGGCCTGTGGTCGAGACTAATGACAGCGGCGACCAATGGGGAGAACAGGCTGAGTGTCAGAGGTCGCAACCGGGTACCCGATACCCGTACCCTACCCGTACCCGGCCGGGTACGGGTACCCATTTGCGACCCTGGTGCGGCCGGGTACGGGTAGGCCGTGAGTCACTGGTGAGTAACTGTTTGTCATTCATTTCGGGTAGGGTACGGGTAGCGTACGGGTACCCATAACCGGCCGGGTACGGGTACCCGTTTGCGACCCTGGTGCGGCCGGGTACGGGTACGGGTAAGGAATCAAAACCCGTTTACGACCTCTGCTGAGTGTACGTCCACCGTGGAGATGAAGCGATCGGGTTGTGTGCACGACCGAGACGGACTGTTGCACCCTGAGACCGTAAAAGATGGTGGCGACCTGCTGAGATATTCATCCAGCAGTGAATGGATCATGGCAGATGATGAAAGTGACAAAGTCAAAATATCTCCCAGCCCAAAGAAGCAACCGTGTGACTAGCAGTAGAGGCGTTTGTGTTTCAATGGATTCTTCTCTGCGGTAGTGGAGCAGTTATAGTCCTGTGTAAACATCGCCACTGGGGAGATAAAGGCGGTCGGGCGTGGTGCTGGTCACCCACCCCCCCCGTGTGCCGTGCCATCCTTCATAGGTGCTCGCTAACAGCACTTGTCCCAACAGTCTGTTAAAGGCTACGCGGGGGGGATCATTGTCTTTGCCTTCTCTGCAGCGGCAGTCGTTACTGCAGGGAATATGCGATGAGTAATGAGTATCGCCTGACTCGCACGCCGCTAACACCGACAAAGAACAAGGTCAGCGTGTCCGTCTCCTTGCACAAACAACAAAGGGGTGGGTTGCTCATCACCACAGGAACACCATCTCTGGATATTCCACCTTTCCCTTGGAGGTGGCCAGTCCATACGTAACACAACCCACCATTCGATTTCCCATGAAGCGGTCCTCGTTTTTTGTTTTATGCCTCTAACAGGATGATTGGTTGGAGCAACCGCGCCCGCCAAAATTTGAAAACGATTGTGCGTTGTACGCATGTTGTATGTATGTATGTGTACGATGAATTTCTTTCGTACGGTATGTAGCCAACCGTGCCAATCGGAGGTGCGGGCTTAATTTCAAGGGGCTTAACTGTGCGTCAAGAGTCGAGAGCTCTCACCATATTGTCATCTCACCGGAGAAATACAAGCACGACGTACAGTAAGTGGAAGGGCAGGGTGTTTACGAAGACAAAGACGATTGTCCTCTCATGAGAAAACCAACCACAATTAGGGAACCAACTGTTATATTTTGACGAGAGCGGTCACTCCGAGAGGGGGGGGGAGAAGAGGCGGTGAGGCTACGGACAGCTGGGCTGGGCTGGGCTGGGCTGGGCTCACGGACTCCCAACTTACGGTGCTCGGGGGTTGAGCCGCGCCAGGGCCGAGCAGTCAAACACGAGCAGCCGAGCCGTCACCAACGTGATGTCTCCATGCTGCACGGCAATCTCCACCTCCACGTGGTCTGCACACAAAACAAAGACGAAGATCCCCCGTATAGCTTGTAACAGACTGTTGGGGCAAGTGCTGTTAGCGAGCACCTAGGAAGGCCAACAAGCGGGGCTGGGTGGCCAATACCACGCCGGGCCATTTACGTCCCCCCTGTGGCGATGTTTACACACCGCACCAGGTACTCATTTGAGGCCAAGTCGACCTAGGGGAGGCCCATGACTGGTTCTGATAACCGTCACTGGTGTTGGCCGTGAGCAGGAATCGAACTCGGGTCGCCGGATTCATAGCGCGGCCACAAGCACCAACAACCACGGGCATTGGCATCAACAGTGTTTACTTCCTACTCGCTTTCCACTGGCACATAGGAGCCGCAACAGCACTGGGACCTCGCAATGCCGGTGTGGCTTTTCCCACTGGCAATTTGCCGGGGCCGAGCCAGAACCAAACCGTGAAATTCCGGCCTCGCAATAAACGTCTCAATCTGGCTCGGGGCCAAGCAGGGCCAGGTGGCTCGGAGAATGACTCTCGTCATGCTTGTTCGTGGTGTGCGAAGTCAGCAGTACGGCTCGGGTTTTTTAAAAAATGTTTTCATTATATGTCAGTAGGAGCGCAGTAAAGTGCACAACAAGCCACGACGTGGGGGTGAGGAGGAGGGGGGGGGGCACAGAAACTCCGCGGACATAAGTCCCGAAACGCTGTGCTTCTAGATTTAGAGGAGGCAGGAGATTGGGCACGTGGCCCAAAATTCATGCGCTCTAACCACCGCATCTAAAAAAAAACTACTTTACTTTAATTTACACTTGCTTAATTGACCCTAAAATTACTCATCACAAGGAATTGCAAATACTCTTGATTTCATAAAATAAACATTTATGAAAAACCTTATCCATTCTACTCAAACAAATCGTTCCCATACAATTGATAATCAAGGGGTAGTGACCTCAATAACATAAACGTAGGGTTCAAATGGTATTCAAATTAGACATTCATGTCCAGTATAGGCATCCAGCCAGCACCTGTAGCACTGTATACAATGACATGCTCCATATAATTGCACTACCATGCTGGCTATTACTATAGGAAAATATGCTAACCACGAGCGGGGTATTTGTGTTTTCATGTGGGGAGGGGTAGGCGAGGGAAGAACAACTTATGTAAGGGAGTAGAGGGAGCAGGCGGGCGGGGGGGGGGGTACTTAAATGAGAAAAAAAAACCTGGCATGGCTCGGTTGTACACAGTGGGGAAGAGATAGAGAGGTCCTCCGTTTAAAGTGACGGGCTACTGCTTGTGACCAAATCAACCTGAATGTGCCAGATCTCGTCAAAGCCTGGAATGCCAAGCAGAGATTAGAGCCTGGTTGGTACTTGGATGGGTGACAGGGAATACTCGGTGGTCGAGGCTTGGTCTGTGAGGTCGGAAGAAGATGGTAGTACGGCATTGGACTATTCAATCTCCCCGTTGTGGAGCTTTAAGCGATACCGTATGTTACGTGCGCATGTTCTCTGATATTCCTCTCACATGCCACTCATTTTCTTGGTTCTTTCGGTAAAGTCACGTAGAAGGGAAATAATAAAATAAAAATAAAACATAATAAAATAATTCTCACGACGTTTCGGCCACAACGCAAGCAGCCGTCCCTCAGGTGAAGACCAGGTCTGTCGGGGAGACAGCGTCTGAATGAAACACCACCACGCTTGGAGCGTATATTTAAGCTGGGTTGGAAGGGGGGAGGGGTGCCTTGACAAAATAATTTGCATATCAAGAGGAATTTAGCATATTTATAGGAAATGCAGGTATGTGATTAGTACTACTTGTGAAATGCGTAGCCTGAAACGTCGTGAGAATTATTTTATGTTTAATTTTTATTATTTTATTATTTTCCCTTCTACGTGACTTTACCGAAAGAACCAAGACGACGAATCCCTGCAGTCACGAAAGCTTTAAATCGAAAAATGCCACTCATTATGAATGGAAATGGCCAAACATTCCACATTCAGGACCCTCCTAAAAAAGTATCTTGAGATTCAATGAGGCTTTCCTGTGTAAACAGAGAGTGTATATTACTATTACTGTTGCATTGCCATGTGCCAAAAATAAGGCTGGCACAGTTGGTGGGGGGGCCAGCAGCAAGCACACCCGGCCACTTTCGCTTCCCCATCGTCCGTGGGCCAAGAAAGGAAATGGGTACCACGTGTGGTGTCATAATTTTACCAATACACATTTCTTAATATGGTATACATGTCTAAATAAACAAGTGAAAGCAATTTCAAAGTGCTATATTGTATTATGAGTTAATTTAGTGGGGGGAGGGGGAGGGTTCCATCCATCTTTTCATCGATTTTATTCCAATTATGCTGTCCGCATTGTGCCAGGAGACAGCGTCCATGCCGAGCTCTGACCAGGCATCACTCGAGGATGGAAATCTCACAAGTACTGCAACGATCACTTCAGGTGACCTCTTAGCCAACATTAGTCGCACCAACTTGCCCACACACCCTGCTATACAGACATACTTGTCCCATGGCAATGAAACCAGAATTGTATTCATTATTTCGCCTAGTTAAGTGGAAAACTACACTTAAATGTACGTGTGCAGTCATCGGTGCGACTATTAACCCACTACGTTATAGAACCGGATGTGTTCACAGCTGGCTTCTGGATTCCAAGCCAGGCTATCTCAGTGGTGCGACATCAGATTCCTAAACCATTCAGTCCAGTAAACTAGATACTGACAAGTTATATATCAAGTAAAGACTGCCAGTGCTGGTAATGATAGAACCACACCACAACCTTGTCAAGGCGCTCTTCCCCCTCCAACCCAGCTTAAATATACGCTGCCAAGCGTGGTGGTGTTCATTCAGACACTGTCTTTCCGACAGACCTGTTCTTCACCTGAGGACGGCTGCTTGCGTTGTGGCCGAAACGTCGTGAGAATTATTTTATTATATTTTATTTTTATTGTTTTGTTATTTCCTTCTACGTGACTTTACCGAAAGAACCAAGAAGACACACCACAACAGATAACATATAAGGATACACGAAACTAAACTTTTTATTTTACCAGGTAAGGCCCACACTGAGCTATAAATCACTCATTCAGAAGCGACCTCACCACGAATGACGGCTCAACGGAGTAACTTATCACGTGGACATTTATAGCAGCCATATACTCTAATAGGATAGATAGGGGTGGCTGGGTGGCTCATTGGTTAGTGCTGAGCCAGCACGACTGAGATAATAATGGGTTCAAATCTGGGTTTCAGCCGACCGTGATTAACCCCGCTTCCCAGTTGTGTGCAAGCTCACGTCCCAGCAAAGTCATCGTTGATGCATGAAAAACCCACCACAAGTAATTTGGTTCGGATTTAACTTGAATGCATTCCAACTCTTATGTGTAGATACGGTCTTTATGTGATGCCACAATCTCACAGCAGAGTGTTGAGGGAAGTGCGACACCTGCTAGGTAAAGAATAAAGGCCGCTTTTGCAGGGCTGTTAGGAGAAATTCTGTGAAAAAAACTTCTGCAGATGCTCCCCGACACTTATAAATGGTTTGCCATCTCATTACACGACGCCGATAGCACAAAGATGGCACAATTTTAATAAGTCGGGTTGGAAAAAGAGAAACAAACCGACTTGGGGAAGTCTCAGGCCAGGTTCAAATACCAACCGTTACCGTGACCCACAAGTTCTGGCACTGCATACGAGTCACTTGGGATCGTACCACATTTTACGAGCCATCGCATAACCGCCGACTGCTGGATCACCCAGCCAACTCTTTCCAAGACAAGATAAACATTTCCCTTCTTAATTTATTTCTCTGAGATTTTGCCGACGCAGCGGAAAGTTTTCCGAGATATTTCAACCGCGCTATCGTGGGACCCAATGTGGAGAGATGGGGAGAGAGCGGAATATTTGTGGCTACGCCCCCCACCGTCCCCCTTTGGCCCGCGGGGCCGCAGGATAGTTGTGCCACCACCCGCACACTCGAAAGCCTTGTGCCACTGTCGCGTGGGCTTGAAGAACGATACCTTTCCCGTTCCACGGCAGGAGGTCGGGAGACGGACTCTGGCAGCGCACAAGATTCCCGGCGATCGTGGCCGGGGTGAAGTGGCCCTCGGTTTGGCAGCGCAGAGATTCGGAGTTGGTCACCTCCACCAGGTGGGCGACCGTCAGCGTCACCTGGGCACAGCGGGGACCGACAGCGAACGAACGGCTCCAAACCAAACGAAAGAGGAAAACGCTTGTGGCAGACATCTCCACAGTACTTGATAAGATAATTGCATTCTCATTCAAACACACGCCAACGACCAACTCACACGGAATGAACCCTAACTCTTTAAATATTGTTAGATGTTGAAAGCTAAGCACGTTTAAGCCCAGATTGTGCTGGGATGGGTGACCACCATGCACAACAGGTTGTTATAGGCCGAGGGGGATATGTGGTTGGCAGCAGAGGGAACTAAAGCAAACACATCCACTGTTGTACTTTACATCTAAGTCTACACTGCCTGCTTTCACCAAACAACATTGGCCAGCATGGTGAAGTTAAATGATCCCTGTAACCTGCACCTCCAATTAGCACCAGTGGATAAGTAAAGGGCTCTACATATACAAACAAGACAAAGACCGACATATAGCCTTAACAGGCTGTTGGGGCAAGTGCTGTTAGCGAGCCCCTATGAAGGCCGGCATGGCACTGCACACGAGGAGGTGGGTGACCAGCATCAAGCTCGGCCGCCTTTGTCTCCCCAGTGGCGATGTTTACACACCACACCAGGTACTCATGTAAGGCCGAGTTCACCTAAGGGAGGCCCAGGACCGGTTCAGATAATCATCACACCGATGCTGGCCATGAGCGGGTATCGAACTTTAATCGCCGGGTTCGTAGCGCAGCGCGCTAACAGCGTACATATGCATACATAGACATAGACAAATAAAGATTTGCACATCTTTGCATGCACGCAAACATAAAGACTTCCTCACTTTGACAGTGCATCCCTCACAACCTGTTCCAATCAAGAGGCAAACGGGCTGTTATCGAGCACCAGGTAAGCCCAGCACAGCACACTCCGGTTTTGCTGTGGTCAACACCATGCCCAGGCCGCCTTTTGTTTCCCCATCACCGATGCCGACCACAGACAGCACCAGGTGCTCATTATAGGCCGAGTCCACCCAAGGGGAAGCTTTCAGCGGGTGCGCTCGTTAATTACCACTGGTGCCACTCATGGGCAGCAATCGAACCTGGGTCAATGGGACTGTGCAAACCAACATCATGCACCTGCTCCCCCCCCCCCAACACACACAAACACACACCTGACAGACAATACATTACACAGACGTGTATGTATGCCCCAACTTCTTTCGCACCCTACGTAGCCGACCGTGCTGATCGTCGGCGCTACAGCTCCGCAGCAGTACAGGATCTGCACACGGCACAGTGTGGGTCTATGCCGCTGGTGGCGGAACTGTGTCGAGTGTCCAGGCGGGGCCAAATGCACTGGGGCCCACAGGCCAGAGGGAGCCAAGACGTCAGACTACGAAGAGGGGGGGAGGGGGGGGAATCGAACTGGGGGCCAAACTTAATTCCTTATATCAGGGTCCTATGTGGATCGATGCTGCGCCACCGCTCTATACAAACGAAGACAAAGATCCCCCGTGTAGCCTTAACAACACTTGCCAGGGGGAAAGTGCTGTTAGCGAGCACCTATGAAGGCTGGAACGGCACACGAGGGGGGTGAGTGGCCAGTAATCTTCCTAGCCACCTTTGTATGTTTGTTGGAACTTATTTCGCACCGTACGCAGCCAACCGTGGTAATCCCTAGCGGCGATCTTTATACACAGCACCAGCTACTCATTTGAGGCAGAGTTGACCAAGGGGATGCCCAGGACCGGTGTAGCTATGCATCGTTGATGTTGGCAATGAGCAGGAACAGACCTTGGGTCTCCGGGTTCACAGCGCAGCACGCTAACCCCCACACTACCATAATGCCATCAGTGGTCAGCGCACGCACACGCACATGAATACACGTCAGTCTACACACCACACTGCGCACACACCGCACGTACAAACACACAACCGCATTATGCACGAACCTGCTGGGGATGCTGGCGGCTCACGCTGTGGGGCGACACGCCGCTCACGGCCGGGCACTCCTCGCGGGGGCTCCACAGCCACGCGTCCTGCACGTCCGCCTCGGGGCACTCCGCACGCCTGGTGCACCTGGCGCGGCCGCCCAGCGGGAACGAGTTATCGGGGCGCCGGCGGAGGGCGGCTTTGGCTCGCAGCTCGCTCTCTAGCGAGGGCCGATGGCGCGCGCGTGCGGTTTCGCGGAACACGGCTGGCGCTGCCGGTCTTTTGCGGGGATTTTAGGTTGCCTGGCTGGCACGAGCTTCCCCCCCCCCCCCCCCCCCCGAGGCGATTGCACGGGGGGGGGGGGGGATTTTGCTGCGCATCTTGCGACCGGCGACGTGCCAGCCACTTTAGAGTGGAAACATTGAAAACGTGTCCATCTTTCATTACATACCAATTTACAACCCTGCAAAAATTGTCATGCGAAATAACTGTTGAAAAAAAAATGACTGCTAACAGCCGTGCACTCCACACTCTCACTTCCATGATTAACTTCGGTTTTAAATTATAATCTTTATTATAATTGCAATCGGCAACAACTCAAGATAACTCTCGTCAAGCCTACAGCTCTCAAATGTGCTCGCGATAAATGGTTTCTTTATCTTCTCCTGCTCCGGCTCCGCCTTCATTTTCGGCACCGTGCGGAATGAAACGCACAGTTCTAACGTCTTTCACGGGCAGTGATAATTGGAAAAGCCATGGCCTTAAATGCCCCCGGCGGCTGCCTACAGCTTGGCCTCGCGCTCGACTTTGCAAGGTGACGTGTCGGATTTGTAGAAATGTTTGGATTCAAGTGGAATGCTCAGGGCTCAGAGAGGAATTTATTCGGAATCCTAGGCTCAACATTCAAACTGGCTCGATTTTACGGAGCATGCCGAATCTAATGTGGAATTTTCGCCCTTACGGGAAAGAGTCGCAGTCCACTGTGAAATAAGGATTTTTATTTTATAACTCAAAAGTAAAGTTCTCTCTACAGGCAGCTGCTCTTGCCAGGGAATACAGCCAAGAAATATTACCATCAGTGATGGTTAAAGCAGGTGCCAACATGATGTATATTGCTCCAAAGTAAAATCGAGGGCAACAGTGGTGCAGTGATTAGTGCACTGTGCTATGAACCCAGTGAGTTTAATTCCTAACCATTTGCCAATATCAGTGTAGGGCGATATATGAACTGATTCTGGGCCCCCACTACACCAACCCACACTAACCAGTGTGGTGAAAAATGGCCAAAAAATAAACCACAACGACCAACAGTGTGGGGAGGGCCTTCACCTAGAAGCGGATTGGTAAATGAAAAAATTATAATTATTAAAGATAACAATCAATGCCTTAATGAAACACATTAACTGTAATGAATTAATCACTCATGGAAATAAGAACACTTAGGCTGCATAAACCTTTTAACACCGCACTTCCGATCTCCGACAGGCAATCACAGCGTGCGGTTTTTAAGCGTCCTTTGCAGACACGCTCTGCATTATACGGCCCAAGCTGCACGACCCCCAATGTCACGGCTCAACGTCTTATAATGAGATGCGGCAGAGGAGAGGTGGGGGGGGGGGCAGGGTTGGGTGGGAGGGGGGCACACGCGGCACAAATATAAAACGATGACCTTGGTGACCCCCCCCCCCTCCCCGCGAGACTCACTTCCCGAGCAGCACGCACCACCCGCAGTACGGATCTCCGGTAGAGACGCACCCGGCGCACGATTTGTGACGGCCGCAGTCCGAGACCGGGACCCTCGCCACCTGCGGCGCAAAGACGGCAACAAGCGCGAAGGTCACCCCGCGCTGCCCCACTCGCCGGTCGATAGCCTCGGTGAGCTGCCGGTCGCGGGTTAATGCTGCGGCGAGGAGCGCGCTCCTCGTACCAAGACGCTAGCCCCAAAGGGGTTGGCAAACTTGCGGCTCCGGGAAGCCGCACGCGGCTTCGCGACGATTTTTTAATCGAGGACCACCGTCTTTGTAGTCACGCGCATTGCGCCTCTTGAAGTAGTGTTTTTTTTGTACCGAATTCGAAAAAAATTGGCTCCTCTTGTTATTTTGGTTTGTCGACTCCTGTTCTAGCCGAACATTATGATGACTCTTATCCTGCACACGAAGCGGCGGGTGGGGGGGGGGGGGAAACAAGCGGATTGGCGAATGCCAAGAAATTATTTGAGATCGGATGGAAGGAACTACAATGGCCTGGCGAATAAAAGAAAATATTCCACTTCAGATCGTCGGAATGAAGAATCGACAATGGACTGGCCACGTAGCCAGAATGGTTACGGTTCGATGATAAAATTAAGCACGGCGCGGGAGCAATTCAGGAAAAAATGTAAGCAGTCAGACCTTCAACAAAGATGGTCAGATAAGATCCAAGCTGGACAGGTCAGATTCAAACAATACAGGAAAATATAGTAAGACGAAACAGCAGAAACACCAATGGATGAAGGCATATCCGGTGAAGTCGTGCCCGACAGTTGACGAGAACGCGGGAATGAAGAAGATCCTGAAGACAAGTGCCTAGTCAGTGCCCCGGGCTCCGACGCACCTTTTACGCTCCGTGAACGAGGAGACACTCAAACTTGACAGGCAGGCCGCAACGACACTAGCACACGCGAATGAGCATCACCGCGACACTGCTCCAATGCAACGTTTGTAGAAAAACACGCCAATGGGGTGATTGTCACTCGAGACCTCCTGCGCACGGCAGGCTTCGACGTAGGAAACGGACTACGGCAGCACGCGGACAACCGTGATTTTAAAGCCTCGCCTCTCATAACCGAAGCTTCACACGCGCGCGGGGGGGCGGGCGGGCGGGATGGCGCTCGGCGGCGCATGACCCCCGATTGCATTGGCACGAGATGTGAGCAGTTCTTTTTTTCGGGTTACGTGTTGCTTTAATCCATTTCGGAATTTACCGCCACGGAGGAAGGATGGGTTAAAACCCAGGGTCCCCTCCACACACTGTCGTGCGGAAGGTTCCCACTCTTGCCGATCACCGGGGGATGGGGTTATTGTGCGACGTGTTCATTTGGACGTCGTTAAAGATTGGTCAACGTGTAAAGGCAGATTGTGGTGGTGGTGCATGGGGGGGGGGGGTGTTAGGGAAGACAAGGTCCTTGGCAATTCGCAGAAATCCTTGAGTAAACCGACACGTGCTTCCATCACAACGTTCTCATCAACTGTGTAAATAGATCGCCGTTAAATCTCGTTTTCGAATAAATGTTCCAGTAAAGTCACGTAGAAGGGAAGTAATAAAATAATAAAAATAAAACATAATAAAACATAATAAAACAATTATTACTTCCCTTCTACGTGACTTTACCGAAAGAAACAAGAAGATGAATCCCTGCAGTCACGAAAATGTTCCAGTGTTTGGCTGGGCTGAATCAAACAGGATTACTGTGTTTCACTGAAACATTTATTTTGCGTGGCTATTTGTCACTGTGAAGAGATTCAAGGGAGGCGGATTTTATTGATTTCACGTTGTTTATGCGTTGAGTTTTTAATTTAAACATGCTATTGTTACCGTTGCAATGGCCACTCACAATTATCTGCTCGGATTTATGGCCGCATGTAAAGCTTGCTTTCCATCCCCGTTTTTACACGGAACACTAGCGCATCGATTTAAAATTTGAAAGCTGAAACAGCCGCGCAAATGCGCTAAACGATCGCGCAAAACAACTGCATATTGTTATTATCGGGTTCTCAGACGTTTAAGTGAAGGGAATTTATCTGAATTGAATACCGATACACATATGGGCAAGCATTTCAAATCTGCAAGCAGGAGTGATGGTAATAATAATGCCGTGCAACAAACAAAAGATACATACCAACCACGAATTTAATAACCAACTAAATTGTATCTAAAATTTCTGACCAACCGTGCTCAATGCAAGAAACGTTTGAACTCTTGTCCACTACACATGCAACAGTGCGCTGCTGGTCGTTTTGCATACTGGGCCTTCGAGCCTGTGGTCAGTCACCAACCGTGATTTGTACGCTACAAATAAATTCAATACGAAGGAGGACCATGACCAAACGAAAGTCCCAAAGCCAGAGATGCTTTCAATGATGAGACTGCAAGAGCAGACCCTGGGTGAGCAGCAGGCTGTCGACAGAGCAACCACCGCTGGATCTGTCAGAAGGTAGGACGAGATTTACATTGGACACGACTGTCTCTCGTCCTTGAGCACTTATCGAGAACGTGTGGAGCTTCTCTGCAGCCGGGGGGGGGGGGGGGGTGGAGTTGTCACCTGGCTCTCAGACATGACGTAGAGGTTTTCTTGTGTCCCATCGAACACCAGGTCTCTGTTAATGGCCGACTCGGCCTGGTGAAGAGTCCAGTTGCCAAGGGGTTTGTCGGCTCCGCGTAGAAATGCCTGCAAAATAGAGACAAAGACCACCCCATTTAGCCTTAACAGACTGTTGGAGCAAGTGGGGTTAGTGAGCACCTATGAAGGCCGGCACGGCACACAAGAAGGTGGGTGGCCAGCACCACGCCCGGCCGCCTTTGTCTTTCAAGTGGCAATGTTAACACACCGCACCAGCTACTCTTTTGAGGCCGAGTTGACCTAGGGGAGGCCCAGGACCGGTTCAGTCAATCGTCACTCGTATTGGCCGTAAGCAGGAATCGAATTCTGGTTGCTGGGTTCGTAGCGCAGTGCGCTAACCGCTGTGCCACCAATCCCCACAAGAAACGCCTGAACACACACACACACACAGAAAGGTCCCTGTTTAGCAGCCTTATAGGCCAAGTGAGTAAGTGCTGTTGATGAGCGTAGATCTGCCAAGGCTGGATTAGAATGCGCGAGGGTGCTATGGGCCAGCAGCACAACGCCAAGCCACATTTGGCATTTTCCATGCCCATGCCCAAACACCACACCAAGTACACACACACATATCATATGCTAAACACATTTTACAAATATACACATTTTACGCTCGTGATTAGATAAATACAAGGGGCAGTCCAAAAGCAATACGAATGTATTTGCAAATGCACACACACCTCTATCACGTACATCTTTATTTTCAACACAATATTGACTTTGAACCAAGATCCCTACTCTTGCTGGATGAGGGCCTCCCCACACCGTCCAGGCTGTGGAGGTTGTTTGACGACACTAAACCAGGCTGGTCAGTGCAGGTTGGTGAAGGCGGGGGGTGTATAGGTGTAGGTGCATGGAAGTACAGTACAACAAAACATTTTGCTGTACTGCCCGGCTGATGATCTACCACCCAAGGACTGTCCACTAGGGTCAACCGAGCTTGGGTTCTGAAATCCGACACAATTTGACGCATTCCGAGATTTGGTCACAGGCGCCTTTCGCCTTGCCTGCACCAAACTAGGAGAAGAGCCGCAGAATCCCAGCTCAACGACTCCATGCCAATGTTGTTGTTCACGGCTGCGAATCAAATCCAGGTTAATGTGGTGCAGTCGGTAATTAATCTATCACTGCTCCCCACACACACACATAGACATGCACAGAAATGAAAGTGCCCGTATACCCACATCCATACACACGCACGCATTCACATGTGCACGATTTGCAAGTAAAAATATAAACACAAGGACAAAGATTTCCTTGTTTAGCCTCTATAGAATACTGTGCAGGGCATGTGTTGTTACCAAATACATACAGTCAGTGAGGCAAATATAAAATGGAGTAGTGTGGCCAGGAATACATATGCCCAGAAGTCGTCTTCCCAGAACTACATATGTATTGGAAGATGCAGTGGTGGCCCATTCTGTACAATAATCAGATGCTATAGATGTGCATGCAGTTTGACAACTATTATTCTATTGCTGTTCCATGTGATTAACACACAACATCAAGGACAGACAAAACAAGTACACACACAAATACACACAGACACACAGACATGTTACCGAGGGCACGAAAAATGACAATGTTTCCACCGACATGGGCAAATAACCTCTACTGGTACCTTTCAGGTAAACACGCCGGTGGCTCGAACAACCTTTAAGAAAATTCTATTTCAAAAATCAAACAGTGTGGAATCAGAAGGGGTCATCGTCAAATAAAAGGAACAAGACTCTCGGCCTGGGACACGAGCACCCGGCTTTGTCTCGAGTGTCCGAGCTCCGAGTCGCTCGCGATCCAAGTATTGCCTCCCCGAGCCACCCACACCAACCCATAGCCTTGGGAACGTCCATCACAACGCCGACATCTTTGGCGCAACAGAGCGGTGGCGGCTTGCGTGCGTGCGCACGAACGCAAGACGCCACCCAGCAACGCGCGTTCATCGTGCCACCAGCAGCGGCAGCGACGGTAAAAAAAAATAAAATCGCTCATTCTGGGACGGTGGGGTCCCGTTACCCTCGCCACCGTTCCCCTCTCCCCCCTGCCGAGGAGTAAATCATGGGCGGCGGCGGTGGTGGTGGTGGGGCGGTGGCAGAAAGCCCACGCCGTGTTAGGCCCCGTGTCTGGCATTGACGCCGGATCCAGACAGCAATGGCCACAAAGACACGCCGGCCACACGGCACGGCGTTCCATGTGAAAAGATCCTTACGTGTCGCGCATTGTCAGATTAAAACAAAAAAATCGGCGAAGGAAGGACGTTTATTTGCCTTTGGTTAATGGGGCGGGTGTTGCTGAAAGACAGACGGACTGTAATTATGGCCAGATAGTTTTTTCGCTGTTACCGTGACGACACGTTTACAGCCACTGCTAGGCACAAAACGGCCGAATGTTTATTTCAGGAATGGCACCCTGCCAGCGGGCAGTGGCGAGTCTTGCGCTGTTTTGCACTTTTCGTTTCGGTTTCCAATTTTTGGGGTTTTGGTTTAGCAAGTTGACTGTGTAGAGCAGTTTAAAATGTCAACGTTATAACTGCAGCCAACTCTTTAAAAAGTAACAATTTTTAATTGTTCTTAATAAAAAGAAAATAACGATTCCCACCTGGTTCCTCAGGTTGCCAATGCATCAAATTAATCTTCCTTTGGTTAAAATTCCACACTTGAGCACTGCGATTCAAATATCTACACTAAAATAGCATTTTCATCATCAGTCACATTCTTATTGTGCTCCTGAAATTTAGACAGTAGATGATCTAAGCTGTGTGATGACCAAGAAATTCCGAAAGGCCTTTTAGTATCCATCTTGCACCATCACAAGACTGCAGCCCTCAGTCGCCGGTGTTCCACTCTGCCTACGCATCACCATTGCGAACGTAACCCTCAGGGGAATGCAAAACTTTCGGCCAAATTAGGAAACAAATAATAAGAAGTCCCTACAGTATGTACTTGCAAAATTCTTACAGTGCAGGGTTATCACACAGGTCCTGCTGTGTTTCACAGACGGGTATAGAGGTCGGGCAGGGTGTGACACCAGCACACGTGGCCAACCCGTTCTCGAATAGCACCACGGGATCTTTAACGTCCACTGTGACTAAAATTAAAAACTGCTGTTTATTTTATCAGGTGAGGCCCACTCAGCTATATATCTCTGATCTGAACGAACTAGGCCTGGTCACCACGCACTTCAACCCGCACTGACCAGAGTGGTGATGTCCGGTTAAAGAACCCCCATGATGAACAATATGGATAGGCCTTCATCCTATGGATTATTAAAAACTAAACTATTAATATTTTTTTACCAGGTGAAGCCCACCTGAACTATACAGCTCTTATTCAGAAGCGACCTTGGCCACAAATGATAGGTCAACAAAGTGGCTTATCGCGTGGAAATTTATAGCAGCCAAATACTTTTACTGCAGCTGTGCACCCCTTCGATTCTCAATCGTAAAAAAATGCATAGCATCAATAAATACATAGGTTTGATGAAATTAAGTAGTTGTACTTAACTCCCCGTGCTTAATTTGTGTTGATGAGTTACCTTCTAAAAATATCTAGCATGTCTCTCGCACCCCCAAAAAAGGGCATCTCGCACCCTCCAGGGGGTGCGTGCGCCCCAGGTTAAGAACCACTGCTCTAAACGCACGTTTCTAAAGCCACCCGCAGTATTGACCAGGGTGGCCGCTGGGCTCAAACCATAGACCTCTGCAACACGCAGCAAACGGGCTACCGCTCAGCCACATCACCCCACCCGCCCCACAAAAATAAATAAATAAATAACCATTATGTCACAAATGTGTGGACAGTTTCAAGCACAATTAATCTGTTTCAGTGTTTCCGGGGAGTTGGCCTCCATGCCGTGCCAAGCGAGCGAGCGGGCGGGCAGGGGTTAGCCTCCACCGCGAGTCCCGCGATGGCACGTGGGCGCGCGGGGGGCTGCTTGTCGCACCTTCACGAGTCGCCCCGCGGAGTCTCCCACGAAGGCGATCGTCCACCGCTGTTCGACGAGGGTGGTGGCGACGGCCGTGAGGTGGACGTCGGGGAACACGGCCAGCGCCGGCGACACCAGCGTCTGGCGACCCACGATGGGGTTGGGCAGGTGGTCGACGCCGCACTCCGCCGCTTGCCCACTCTGGCGACGAGCGACGGGAGAAACCAAAATGCTCAGCGGGCGCAGTGCGGCACGTGCCGTGTGAAATTTCATGAACGCAAAAAATGTTATTCCGTGATTCGAAAAGTGTCCATAATTTATTTGTCAATTGCGTACATCGAGGGATACCTGTATTAGGCATTTAAAAAAATTTATAAATCCTGACATCCAGTCCGGCTGTGACACCGATATCAAAAGGTCCTGTCATTTTAACGAAGGCCACATTAATTCCATTTACAGCATGGAATATTGATGAGATTGCTCTTTATCTTCCAATTATACGTTGTTAAAATGTGAAAGGCTATATAAAAGGTTAAAATAACAAGACCGAACTCGCAGAAAGTTTCAAGCCATGACAGAAGACAAATAAGCGATAGAGGATGACAACAGAGTTGCAGACAATTCGGCGGACGTGCAGTGAAATGAGAGAACAAAGACAAGAAACCAAGACGTATTGCGATGACACAGGAGACACAAGAGACACAGACAAGAGGCTGAGGATGCAGCAATAGAAAGATGTGTGGACAAGCAGCATAGGACGTAGGAGAGTAGAGAACATACAGATGAGAGATAGAGATGCAGTGGGGATGGGTGAGAAGAGATGCAGATGACAGATGTAGCAACAGAAAACAATGAGATCACACCGCCAAATTTCCCGCACCTCCGATTAGCACGGTTGGCTACGTGCATAGACTTACAAAGCCGAGGTCGAGGAAAGCGACGACAGGAGGGAGATGTAATTCAGAAGAGCGAGATGGCATGGAGACGCGGAGACGCGATACAAAGCGGACATTCTCACCACCAACCCCACCAGACCCCTAAACTCCGCCGACCACCCCACCTCCGCTGCACTTCGAGCGGCGACGACAAAGCGGGGGATTGCCGAGTCGGGCAGGAGAGCTCATCACGCTACACATTTGTACGCGTTAATGACGTGAGCTCAATTAATTATATTTCAAAGCAGTGCATGGTCGTTTGTAGCGGGGAAGGGTCAGGTCATGTTAAGGGCAATCTTAAAGAGCTCGGGGGGCAGGGGGGGTGGTGGTCAGATTTGGACCTGCTGGCTACAATTCGATCAGTCCTGGTAGAAGAGGATCATACTGGCAGAAACACAAATAGATCACGGAGGCAGACAAAGAGACAGGCAGACAGAGAGCTAGCCTGGTTGCCAAGGAGCTGGCAACATCTGTGCCAAATCCAGGACAGCACCGTTAGATTCTGGGCTCCAGTCTGGGTGTCAGCCGCCTGTGATCAAACCAGGTTCTCAAGTGCTGAGAATTGGTCTCCTTTGAGTTGCCAATGGGGCTGCACAAAAAGACAACTTGATGCACCGTTTGCAAATTATGGTTATTTTCACGTGGCGATCTTTGGCATCTTTAGCGAAGATCACTACATGCACGTAACCCGAAAGGTAAATACAAAACTAAGTATGTTATGATACTGTAGTAATGTTTGGAGCAAGGCAAAGAGATAGGTTAAGGAATGAAGGAGTAGTGAAAAGAACAGGCTGCCACCAATGCTGCTATCAAAACAAAAAGCTATCAGAGGGAAACAGGCAGGACCAGTCATGAGAACAACTGATGATTAACTGACCGTAATCAACTACAGAATGGAGTCCTGAGAGAAGGTGGTGAAAGAAGCAAAATAAAAGACGGAAAAAGAGACGGCGAGGTGAAACCAAAGAGTTTGGAGGCTGCCGCTGGAGAGCATCTTGGGAGAGGAAGCGATGGCACGGAAGAAACAGGGAGGACGAGACTTGTTGCCCAACAGCGCCAAGGACAATAACAGCCGAGAGAGAGAGGCGTAACCGGCGACAAGAACGAAGCGGCTACGCACCGAGACGTGACTGTTGGTGCACACGAGCGAGCTGACGTATTCCACGTAGGCCGAGGCGTCCTCCCCGCGGTAGCACGCCTCGCGCGCCTTCTCCACGGCCTCGTTGATGCGCGGCACGGCGAACGCGCACAGCGATGATGCCGTCGCGGCGCCCGCCGACGCCGCCGCCTCCTCGGCGAATGCCACGAACAGCGCCTGCTCGCCGGCCGCCCCGGACGCCCCGGACGCGATCTCCGAGCCCAGGCGGCCGAGCGACGCCGCGCGAGCGAGCACGTGCTGCCGCCCGGAGCCGGGCTCGCCGGGCGGGCCGGAGGCGTCGCACGCGAGCGGCACCTCCACGTACGACAGGAAGTTGAGGTCCCTCTTGCAGAAGCGGCCCACGAACGTGCGCGGGTCCCCGCGCGCGAACCGCGGCTCCTTGCGCTGGAACACGAAGTAGGCGAACTGGCCGGCCTCGAACGCCGCCACGAAGCTGTGGTCGAACTGCGAGTACTCCCCACGCAGGTAGTACTCGTCGTCGTGGGTGAACGGGTCGCCCACGCCGGGGCCCGCGCCACCCGCCGGCGGCAGAAAGCGGATGGAGAGCGGCTTCAGCTTCTGCCGGCCTCCCGCGGTGCCCACGAAGAGCATGTCGCGCTCGCCGGCGCGCGCCACGAAGCCCACCGCGGCCTCGGCGCCCGACACGACGGCCTGCAGCGAGGTGGGCGCGTCGGCGCGGTACAGCACGCGGCTGACGTTGGCCGCGTCGCGCTCCGTGCAGGTGCCGTGGTGCACGCTGCCGCACGCCACCACGCGGCCCCGCGCCGCGTCCAGCGCCAGCAGCACGACGGCGTCGTCCGCCTCGCGCACCTCGCACACGTCCGGGAAGGGCGGCAGGCACTCGAGGCTGTCGGGCACGGGACCCGTCACTGCCTCCGCCTTGTCGGCGAGCAGCGCCGTCAGCTGCAGCAGGCGGTTGGTGCCGCCCACGTAGACGTCGCCCGTGTCGGGACTGTACGCGAGGTGAGTGAGCGGGCGGGCGTCGGGGAAGGAGCGCGGCAGCGGCGAGTGCGATGGATGCGCCGGAGCCGGCAGCGGCAGCAGCAGCAGCAGCAGCCGCAGCAGCAGCGCTGACAGCTGCATGGCCCTACGCCTGCAAGGCAGCACACGGAAATGCACGCTCCAATTATGACCGTCGCACTTTATCACTACGGTAGGACGGTGGCAGTGGTTAACGCACCGATTGCCAGCAACAGCCAGCATCGTTGGCGAGTGATGGGACCTGGCACCCTCTCCTATACCACCCTGCACTGCCCGGGGTGGTGAAGTAAAGTCAAACAACCCTCCATTACTTACACGGCATGGGGAGGCCACATCTGGCGATGGATTGACCAAGCGGCGATATATTTTTGTTATTATCATCGTCGCTGCTATGGCATTACTACTACTCGCAGTCAAAAGTCAAAGTGTTGGTTTCCTCCTCGAAAAACTGGGGGGGGCAGTTCTCAGATCTGAAAAATCCTCAGCCACGGGTGGAAACTCCACATTGCTCTCTGCTGGGGACGAGTCGATGAATGCGACTACTGCAAGTGGCGACTTCCCACAAAGTAGTTACACATCTTCTGGACTCCAGAGCGATGAATGGCAGAGTTGACTCTCAACCAGAATGTGAACTTGCAAGCCTTCGAAATGCACCACCCATTGTGACAGTGGGTATTGCGTGCTTATTAATCCGCGCGAAACATTTACCTGTTAAGTTTGTAACTTAATTTGGAGCTTCCGTGACTGCAGGAATTATTCTTTGGTTCTTTCGGTAAAGTCACGTATAAAGATAAAATAAAAAATAGTATTTAATTTAATTTATTATTTTATCTTTATACGTGACTTTACCGAAAGAACCAAAGAATGTTAAGTTTCAAATTTAATGTTAAGTTTGTCTCAGAGGCTAATGCACAGCCTATCCAGATGCTGAAAATGTTTTAACACTGTATCATAAGGCATAAAAACAAGGGCGTCTACACAAACATTCCATTATGCAACTGTTACTAATTACGCATGTTGAAAGTGAATGAATGTTGTACGGGCAACAGCACAAGAGCTGCTGCGGTCAGGAAGTGCTGGCATACATTGACCATCAACCTCCGAACCTGCAGCCGACACTGATGGATGGATGGACGTTGTACAAGTCTAGAGGCGTCAGACTGTTTGCAAGCATCTGCGCGCGTTCGGTGTCCGCGCACAAGTCGCGAGTAGGTATACCCCCCCTGCCTTTGTGTGTCCTTACGTCTGTGCGTGCGTGTACATGGCTGGCGCATGAGCGAGTGCGCGCGCCCGAAGTGAAAGTGGTGGTGCAATGGTCAGTGCACAAACGCACTGCGAACCCGGCAACCTGCATTTGATTTACAGCCACGGTGAACATCAGTGGCGAGTGACATCTGAACCTTTCCTGGGCCTCCCCCCCAGCTCGAGTCAATACGAGCCCCTTGTGCTGTGTGTGGATATCGGCACGTGGGACACCGAATCAGAATATCTATTTATCCTGGAGGAATCCGATGAGCTATGAAGCTCGTTTTCACAGCTGCCAAGTGGGAGACGAAGATGGGCACACCGTGGCGATTCGGTCACAACACCCTCGCGTGGACCGTGCCAACTTGAATTAGGGCGCTCGCTGACAGCACACATGCTCCAACACTTCTGTTAAGGCGGCAACGGGGATCTTCGTACGTGGCCCGTGCCCGGAGGACGTGGTACGTGTCGGCGCGCGAGTATGTGCCTGCGCTTGTCCGTGCGCGCACGCGTCTCCCCGTGCGAGTTGTGTGCGTGCGATCCCCCGCGTCTCTGCGCACCGGGGGGCTGCATCGCGGACGGGCGGGCGGGCGGGCGGGCGGGCGGGCTGCACGAGCTCTGCTCGCTGAGATATAAACACGGGGGGCGATTGTTCTGTGGAGAGAAGGCTTCCGGCCGCGTCTGCACAACGCTTCCTGTGACCCCCACCCCCCCCCCAACTACTCCCCACTCCTCTGGCCCAAACTCACTCACGACGGGACAGCACAGCACAGCAAACCGCGAGCCAGGGACACAGTCTCCTGGCTCCCACTGGATCCAGATCCAGACCTCCCCCCCCCCCACACCGCTTCAACCGCGAGCACATGCACACAAAGACGCCCCGTGTAGCCTTAACAGACTGTTGGAGCAAGTAGGGATAGCGAGCAGGACATATGAAGGCCGGCACCGCGCACGAGAGGGTGGTGTGGTCCACACCACGCACGGCCGTCTTTGTCTTCCCAGTGGTGATGCTTACGCACCGCATCAAGTACTCATTTGAGGCCGAGTAGACCCACAAAAAAGCCCATAAACCAGTTTAAATACTCGCCACGGATGTCAGGCGTGGCCAGGATTCGAACTCGGACGACTGGGTTCGTAGTGCAGCGCAATAGCATCTCACACTTACCCCTCACCAAACACAGACACACGTACGCAGCCCCATTGAGTGCTATCAGCAAGCACCTCCCACAGCTAAACGACCACATCTGGCCCCCATCGCGATGACAAGATGGACATTGGCGGCTGGGGGCCCCGGTGGAATTCGCTCATTACTCGAGCGATAGTTGTGCATGCCGTGTGTGTGTGTGTTTGTGTGTTCGTGCCTTTTCAGAGTGCGGGCTTGCAGGAGGCATGCGGGCGTGTTATGCTACACATGTGCGCTGTATCTACTATACAAACAAACGTGTATGTTATGTGCGCCGGAGACATCAGAGAGTTGTGTAAAATGTGAGAAGGCTCAAAATAAAATGTTCAACTTGTTTGCCCTCCAACCACCAAATATAGGACTTCAAATAGACAATAATCATGATAATAATGATTATATCATAAATCTACACAATACCTATACATATAATGCACCCAGATCTCGTCAGATCTTGCAAGCAGGGGGGTGAGCCTCGATACTTCCTGGATGGGAGACCACGTGTATAACATGTGTTATAGGTTACGTGGCTGTATTTTGGACGACTGAGGTTCAGTGCAGCAAAATCCATTGTTGTACCGTACTTCTATTGTCCCACACAGCCATCCTCCCCACCGTCAACAATCCGTTGCAACCAGCTTAGTGACGTATAGTCAAACAGCCCCCCCGTGACTCACGCAGCATAGAGAGCGCTCCTCATCCAGCACCGGCTTGACTCCGGGCAGTGTTCACACATACGTGGACAAATCTTGCATGTTCATCCGTTAAAAACCGCCGCTCCGGCTGAAAGCGCTGATTGAATAAACGAACGCCCCAGCAAATTAAGAGGTTTGTCATCTCGCCGGGAAGATTAAAAGGAAAGCCCTGAGGCCGGGCAAGGACGGAAGTGAGACGGGGGGGGGGGGGCGACCGTGGGTCTCTCAGGGTCGCCGTCTGCCGCCCATTGTGTGCCCGAGGAAAGCACGAGGCGATAACCCTGACGTGTGCTCCCAGGTCGTGGGAAACCTGGCGCCCACTCTCCGCCCCCTCCCCTCCCCAGCCCTCCCTGGCTTCTTCCTGCAACTCAAACCCGCCAACATTGCCAAACCCACCAACGACGCCATTCCCACAAAACCTCACCAAACCCTGCCAATGTAGTCAATGCCACCAACCACCCGGCCTCAGCAAACTGCAACCACTCTTGAGCCTCGCTTATTCCACTGCGTCGCTTGTAACCATGACCCCTGGGGGTCAGGTAAATGTCTCTGTTCAAAATCATTGACAGCAGAGGTGGCTTTATTTTGCAACTGGCCACGATAACAATTCTCACACGTCGATTATTGCGATATATCATATTGTACTTAAATTATTATCGCGTGGTTTTAGTGCTTTTCTGTAATGCCAGTATGGACAAAGATTACTTGCACATTCTTGAACTGCAGTTCACTCAAAGCTTTCTAATTATGCAACTTCCAATCATTCAGCTGTCAGTTACACAAGAAAAGAAAATCATTAAATTAACAGTACTACAAAAGTCGAGGCTTACTTTATGTTGAGATGCAGTAAAGCAAGCGGTGTTTCATGGGTAATGCTGTATATAGCCATTTTTTAGATCCTGTAATCATTGTGTGAGATTCCACAAATACAGTAATTCGTCAAGTTATACCAAAAAATAGATAGGAACTATGCAACGTGATACAATATGCATTCATGTTGAACTTCTTTGCGAACCTACCCGTAGGCCAACCGTGCTAATCGGAGGGGGCGAACGGCGTGGTATAAACAGCGTGGTATAAACGTCGTGGTATAAACGGCGTGATATTGCCATATCCACGGCAACCCGAGCGGGAACCAGCACCAAAACCCGGGCCATCCCCACCCGCCACGGCGATGTTGCGCAGACCCATCGAATTCACCGCTCACGTGACGTTCAATGAGTGGCAGCAGGAGGACTGGCGCCGACAAGCCGGAGGGCACAATGTGTTTTTTTCGCGCTCCATCCAAAGTTGTATACGTTATCTTACTCGCTCTAGCGGAATTAACCGCCGATAAACACGTAACTAGGTCAACCAGTTTCGTTATGTAATGTAAAAAAAAAAATCGCTCGTCCATAGTCTGTCTATGTGCTGCAACTTCTCCGTCCAGGCACGAGCCGGTTATACTTTTTCTTTTTTAAAAACCCTGACCACCTTGACGAAGGTGCCGAGTTAACGTTGTCAAACTGAAAGATCGAAAGCCTTTATGCCGTCTGTTCGTTCGTCCAGCAGTCATTAACGGCGGGGCGATGGGGGGTCACGATATAAAGATGCTCCAATATTAACGAACCCACAGTATATGTCTTGCTATTCAGAATTATAAAAAAAAATCAGCCAATTTTATCAAAGAGTTGCCTGAAACGCTTTGACACAAACCATATCAAGAATAATTGTATAGAAATGTACAAACGGATTCATGCACGGACAGCTATACCCGTCAGCTTCAGACTGCTAATTAAATACTTACAAATGGCAAACACGTTGGAAAATGCGTTACTCGATCCACGTGTGTACGCATGATTTTTCTAAATGTGCTCATGAATACCAACGTAGTCCCGTACACTTATTTCTTATCTTAACAAGAGAATTGTTATGCAACTCTGTGTGTGTGTGTGTGTGTTAAGTTCATGCGTGAATGTCTTGCATCAGGCATGGGTTTTGTATGCGTGCCAA